TAAATTGACTTGACCTATGTTGACCTTCCTGAATGATCGAATGAAATTGAACAAACTTTTTTGATGTTGACCTTCTTGAACGAATGAAATAAGGTAAATAAATTAAAGAATTGAAATGAAGTAATGATTAATTCAATAAATGATGTAATGCATGGTTAAATGTACTTACCGATGACGGGCCAGCACCTCCAAAGATCCACGCATGAAACGACCACCTGCACACGAGGCACGATACCCAGGAGGAAAGAGTTTTCGTCATGTCTAGGATTGCGAGAGTAATATTGATATTTACATGGTAATAACACTCTTTGCTGGCGAATAACTTCAATTGAACCACGTACCGTTACCATGCACATAATGGTAGCAGCGAGGTACCCTTTCAATATACTCTTATCTTGCGGGTTTGGTGAAAATGAATCCTCCAGGAGGTGGTAAAAAAGTTTTCAGTGATCCATCATCCACCGTCCACCATCCATCGTCCACCGCCCACCATCCACCATCCACCATCCAGCGTCCACCATCCGACGTCGACCGTCTACTCACCGCACCCGTCACCGCCACCTACCGCGCGGCGGCTACACAGACAGTCCGAGAAGGGATAGTTACTCGTAGGGTCGAGTAACTACGAGTAACGAAGTTAACGACCCGCGATGTCAAAATCATCGACGCTGCTGACGACTCCGTGCCATGTTGCGCGTTTCTTCGGAGTCTTCATCTGTCCTTGTTTACATTCGGCAACGATGCGAGTGATGGTGCGCTCGGACACTCCAGTCAGGTGGCTCACTCGGCGTCTGACTCGCATGTGTGTCAGACGGCACCAGCCAATTGCGGCACCAGCCAATTTGCGGCACCAGCCAATTTGCTTTCGAATGGTGTTTGATTCATGTCGATGTGTCGTCTAGAAGCATAGATATGGACGGAAATGTGAAGAGACTTTAAAAAAGAACTGTTCTGAGGGCGTTGTTGAATGAAATTTGGGTGATACGGGGTCAAGACGGGTCAAAGGGGTCAGCCCCGGTCGCTTTGGGTCAAGCCAGGTCACATGGTCACCTCTCGTCCGCTTGGATCAGCCCGGGCCACTGTTCTGCTTTTGCCTCCACCACTACCCCTACCACTACCCCTACCCCTACCACTACCCCTACCACTACCCCTACCACTACCCCTACCACTACCCCTACCACTACCCCTACCCCTACCCCTACCCCTACCCCTACCACTGCATCTACCCCTACCCCTACCACTACTACTACCCATACTCCTACCCCTACCACTACCCCTACCACTACCCCTACCACTACCCCTACTACTACCCCTACCACTACCCCTACCCCTACTACTACCCCTACCCCTACCCCTACCCCTACCCCTACCACTACACTACCCCTACCACTACCCCTACCCCTACCCCTACCCCTACCAACACCGCTGGGTCATGTCAGGTCACAGAATAATTCGTGCCATTCCATTGCCCTTACTCGATTTTGTCGGAAATGGCGCTTTGTGGCAAATGTGGCGCATTGCGGCAAATGCGGCGCATCTGTACCTGTTGTTTGAGCATGCACCCTTGCACCAAATTGTACCCTTATCGGGCCATATTTGACAAAACTGTGCGAGCTGCGGCAAAAATGGCGCCCTGTGACCAATGTGAGGCATTGCGGCAAACGCGGTTCATTTGTACAATCTTATCACAAACTGTACCCATTTAGCAACAATCAACACATTTTTTCGCCACCATTTATCAAAATCAATAATTTCACCATCCTTCAATGCGAGGCACCCGCCACCGATCGGCATGCATTTAGTCCACAAAGTTTGTCGACCCTCAATGAAGATCTACGAACCGATCAAAATTTCATTGGCGTTCTTCCGGCGCGCCCCACGCGCGAACCGTGCACCCCAGCGAGCCGAAACCTAGAAAAGGCACTGACCCGCTCTGTCACCTATAAGGTGTGCAAATTTCAACCCCCTACGATATACCGTCTGCCCTGTAGGCCGGCTAAATTGAACCCACTACACGACGTGGCGGACAGACAGACTTACAGACAGATGGATCCTGTTCAAATAGTAGTATAGATGTCGAGTAATTTTTATTAAAGAAAAAAGAAAGCTCATTATCTCCCTTTAACAGCTATGGACTCCAGTGAATGACTTCGTACTGGTTACAGCAGCTATAAACAAATTGGGACTGTGTAAACAAGCCATTGACGTGGGTCTTCCGCACAGGGTGGGCAATTATTGAGTCACGAGGCGACTGCATCGTAAGTGGGTAAATACGCACTACATCCAGTAGGGAACCCATCAATTCTAAGAAAATGGACATAATTAGCAAGCTTGGGTGTGGAAAGAGGAAAATACCTTAAAAAAAGAAAGTATTTGTCACTCAGCCCAGCTTCACGTTCATATAACCAAACTGGGGAAGTTGGGGCAATGCCGGAGTTGGGGCAAAGCCGAAATTCGAGATATTTCGAAAACCGTAAGACATGGATGCCACCTGTCAGTGATGCTCTGAAGCTTAAGTGACTACAATTATCGCATGTTTGTTACGAGTCGTCATTCGGAATACTTCGACTGTGAGGGCGCCAAGAGCGTTTTCAAGGTACGTTTCCCTTGTACTACATGCGCCTTTGAAGCTGCATTTCTTACTCATTATGCTACCGTTTGTCTGGCCAATTCGGTCAAGTAATCTTTAGCATGTCTTTGTATAAGTGTGCTGCCTATTTGAAATGTATACAGCACGTTAAAAAGTTATGGGCCTGCAAATGAAAGTATGGCTGGCTGGGGTAATGCCGAAAACGTGCGATTACGCACGTGTTAAAAGCACGCTACGTGGACTTTACTGCTGTAGAATAGCAACGCGTATTTTTAGTCACACAAATTACACTTTCAACCGACACAACGGCCTGTTACGTAAAAGGAATGATTTACCTGGCATTTTCTTATTATATCACGCAATTATAACTTCCAGTGTGCACCGCGTCCTCAAGCTCTTAAAACGCGTGTCAGCTTTGATGAATTCTGGATAAAGTTTGAGATAAAATGGCAAAACATCAATGTCGGCATTCCCCGTAGATCATTTCTTCCATTTTCGGCTTTCCCCGCAGTCCGGGGCAACGCCGAAAAAGTCACTTCTTTGATATTTTTAGTTTGTGCGCTTAACGGTATGCGAATTCATCAAATGCGCCTGGTATGTTTGAAAGGCAAAAGACTGGCCTCTCGAATGACGCCAACAAGAATAGCTTATGTTGTCTACCTTGCGTGCTACGGGCGTCAGAAAAAAAGTCTTCGGCGTTCCCCCAACTTCCCCTAGATGTTTGTAGACATCCAGATAGTCATCCAAGTTCGAGTTACCTCGACACATGCTATAGTTTTCTTTTATCATGGGTGATTTACGGCTGGTGAGAACAGCTGCCTCCACTTAAATTCACAGAAAATGGAGCGAATCTGCATATCCCCGAGTCCCGACTGCCGAAATTTCCCGATCGGTGGTAGATGTTTCACAAGCTCGTGGAGCATGCTATATTTAGTGCGGTCTCTTGCTTTGCTAATCCATCCAGGTATTTAAAACAGCTTTGCTGAATTTGTGAGACTGCGGTGGGATTCTAGGGTCAGAACACGCGGCAAAGGTGATTGCGCAATTATGAATCTTTGCCTTTTGACCGAGCCAGAGATGATGCAATTATAATGTCGTGCAAGTTAAAATTGAAATTCCGAATGTCGCATGGTTACAATTTGAAAAATACATAAATATGTAGATAGCGAGAGAGAAGCCTCGAGTCAAAGTTACAGCTTATCATGAATAGATGGATGCCAATTGTCCCGTTCATTAAACTATCCGCACTCTGTAAACCTGCGGTCTTTTGCACTGACCGGAGGATAACTCGTTCATAGCAGACAGCAATGCTGAACCGGCTCATACCAGCTTTCGCCTCGTTCTGGTCGCACAGTATGCTATATCAGTTCAGATCTCATGACAGTGGCCACCATTAGCCAAAGCCTGGAATTAAACCACGACCACGCTGCGAGCCGGTTAGCCGGAGAAAGTCCGATACCAGTTCTCAGAATGAAACACACGGTGACCGTAATTATATACACTTCTGTGCGTTATTGGAGAAACCACACCAGCCGGGGGCCAGGCCGAGTCCAAAGGTTCCGCTCGGTTCATCAGATCGACAGCTCTGACGTTAAAATGGTGACCTTCCCAGGGCATCGTCTGTGTATATCCCGGAGACGCCAGAAACGTGTCGGGTCTGTCTGTCTGAGACACACGCCAGACCGGGCCGTTTGACCCCGGGGGACCGCAAACGCCTATGAATGGCCTCGGTCATTCAGCGCCCACCTCCTTAAGTTCAGCTCCGTTCTTGTGGCCAGCTAACTTTGCCAGCCTTATAACAGTCTCAAATGTCACTTGGGACTACCAGACACACGCGCTCACTACCAGACACACGCTGTGCGCGGCAGCAGGAATTCCGAGTATGTACAGCCCACCGCTAAAGTAATGTGTGGTTTTACCAATCTCAACGGATGGCTTTGACCGACGATTTTTAAATGCGGACTGATTGAAAAGAAGACGTCAATAGATAAAGATGTAGCTGCAAGGGTGAAGATACATGTAAGCTACATTTAAAGTCTCGTTGCAGTCTGGCTGATCGTTCCTAGGCTTCAGAAGCAGAACGTAGGTACCCATGACTGAAACCACGCATTACTTCTGCTGTGGACTGTACACAAATGAATTCCTCAGCGGTGTCTGCTCCTGTCCCACCGTGCGTCTGTTCTTCCACAGTGCGGCGCGCTGTCAGAGTGACGGTGGTGACAGGGAACACGTCCATGACCTTGTATCTACCCCGCAGTGGTGTAGGTGAGTGCATGTGCGCCTCTGTATACGTGGGTGCGGTCGTGTGCGTCTGTTTCCATGACCCTCGCACGAGACGGTGTGGCACTCCCCGTTTATAAAAAAAAACATGTGACACTCCGGTTGGAGTTCCGAGTGCCCGGGTACTCACGCGGCCGCCTTGCGTTTGGTGGACACGCAGAGGTACCGCTGCACCTGGGCCTGGTTGACGCCGTAGATGGTGATCCAGGTGAAGTAGCCGCCGATCACCAGCGTCCACACTGTGTGCCGCACGCCCGGGCTCGGGTCGAAGCTGCAGACAGGGCAGAGGGGCGTTATACAGGGTCGAGACTGACGCACAGAACGAAGCGTAGTGAGCTGAGACAGGCTGGCAAATTATTAGGTACGGAAGAGGTCGAAACTGGCTCGCAGAGCAGCAGTGCATTATATTGTTTGACAGCACTCTAGCAACGGCGTCGCGGTTGCGGGCAGTATGATTATGGGACGTTGATAAAGCGCGGGTAACAGGTAAATGCGTTGCGTTTGTTCGCAAAAACCCAATGTAACATACTGGCTAGAACACACATTTTAGTTGTCATACGCTGTCTAAAAACGCCTGCATCAGCGCTTATTGTGTGATGGTCGCTATTTGCCAAACGAGTATTGCGGTACAGTATACCTGTCCTCTAGCAAACTCTCATCCGACAAACCCCCGAGTATTACGGTGCAGTATACCTGTCCCGCCCGACAAACTCCCGAGTATTGCAGTACAGTATACCTGTCCCGCCCGACAAACTCCCGAGTATTGCGGTACAGTATACCTGTCCCGCCCGACAAACTCCCGAGTATTGCGGTACAGTACACCTGTCCCGCCCGACAAACTCCCGAGTATTGCGGTACAGTATACCTGTCCCGCCCGACAAACTCCCGAGCATTGCGGTACAGTATACCTGTCCCGCCCGACAAACTCCCGAGTATTGCGGTACAGTACACCTGTCCCGTCCGACAAACTCCCGAGTATTGCGGTACAGTATACCTGTCCCGCCAGACAAACTCCCGAGTATTGCAGTACAGTATACCTGTCCCGCCCGACAAACTCCCGAGTATTGCGGTACAGTATACCTGTCCCGCCCGACAAACTCCCGAGTATTGCGGTACAGTATACCTGTCCCACCCAACAAACTCCCGAGTATTGCGGTACAGTATACCTGTCCTCCCCGTCGATTGAGGTCTTTCTCACATTGCTATTTGCAATGTATAATGCAGTAAAAATTCGTGTCCAATTGGAAGTTGCAGGCAACATAAAACGATTCAAAGCATCTGAACAGAACTTCTTCACGCTTTGAGGTGGCTAACGTTCGTCTTTGGATAGCTTACATCAGTGAGCACTGCACAACCAGACATCGTCAACCGGCTGCACAGTGCGAGCTCCGCACTCACTTGAAGAACTCGATGCGGTCTCCATTGACGGCCGTCTGCCACACCACGTCGAAGCCGCCGACGTCGATCGAGCCCTTGATAATGACGGCCATGATGGCGCCGAACATGATGATGACCTGCACGGTGTCCGTCCACAGCACCGCCTTCATGCCGCCCTGAAGGACATGGAACGGTCAGCGCAAGTAATGTCAATTACGGAAAATCGTGATACCGATACCAAACCAAATACCAACAATACACATGGAAAAAATACCGAAACCAAACCAACTTGGAAACATGAGGGAAATACCAACTGTTTACCAAATTCTCAAGCTCTTTTACATTAGAGAAGATTCATAGGTAATAGCCGTTTTCACGACGGGCTATCCGGCGAGTGCACCTGATTTGACCAAATCTGCACCTAATCTCTTTTACAGCAAATGTCTTCATTTTATGAGTTTATTTCAGTGTTTTAATCGATGATGCTCTCTGATAATACGACAAAGCAGGCATATAAGCAATTAGCGTAACCCTAGTTGGCAGCTACTAAGAGACACACTGAACCTGATCGGACCAAATCTGCACCTGATCTGCACCAGATGTGCACCAAATGTGTACCAGATGGCCGTCGTGAAAACGGCTAATACCAACAAAATACCAAATGCATTAGCCTTGAAATACAAAATACTAAGTTGGTATCGGTTCGGTATCGGTATACCAAAAAGTTGGTTTGACATCTCTAGTCAGCGCACAGACCTTACTCAACGAGAGGAATCGAAACGGCGCTGTCATAGTGAAGAATTATACTCGTAACTATAAGCTACAAAACTGGATAGCCGCCACTCATGTTATATGAAGCGGATGCACTTGATGTGATGTGAAACGGATGCACTTATTGTATTTACAAACGATACCGATGTTGGTACAAGTTGCGGAACGTGAATGTCAAAAGGCCGTATTTATGAGAAAATATCAAAGTCTACATCTACTGTAAAATGTTTAAGAGGTACCTACATTAACGACGCGCTTTCCCCGATATTGGCCACAGAGAGGAATTGATACCGACTCACCAGTGTGGTGTAGATGATGCAGACGAAGAAGATGACGCAGACCGAGAGGTAGACGTTGATTCCAGTTACTGACGACACACATAGCTTAGTTAGAAATAGCAAAAAAATAGTCGAATAAAAAAGAATGTGCATAAGCGACGCGGTGGAGACAGTGTATATTGTTGGATATTCGCTAACCGAGTGATTGATTGGACGTTGGGCATATCCGTCCCTACGTTAGCTCCCATGTTTAATGTTTAAATGCGTATGTCATGTGTGCAATTGCATGTGTGTGCCAGTTTCTGTTATGGATATGTGTGTCGGTAGGGGTCTGATTTGCTTACCTTGTGACAGAGCCAGTGAAGGGGCATACACCACGATTGCCATGTAAATGGCCTGAAACATGATAAAAGCACATAAATAATCCTTTTCAATGATGGTCGATCAAAAATCATTTTTCAAAGAACCACAAAGCAAGTTCCTATAGAAATTGTAATTGAAAGCAAATACGAATCACGGGTCTTGGAGTTAATAAAATCGCAAATAACAAAGCAGAAATCTTAATAAATACGCTGAATATTTCGGTACTGATCAGCCATGTAAAAACATAAATGGCATTCAATCAAGTAGCAATGAAATAAAAGAATAACCACACATTCACGGGCACTCCAAGTTATTGCAATCATTAATACGGCAGCCTAACTCAACTCACCATTTGAATACAGAAAATCGCTCCTCCCAACACACGGATGGTCTTTGAGAACCGCAGCTCCAAATACTGTGGATGAAAGGGAAGCCAACGGAGGAGTCAAAATGTGTTCGGGAAGAGACGTCAATTTTTAGAAAAATAACTGCAGCCCGAATGTTTGAAAATGATCAAACAAAATCTAGGCTTTTAAAACCTTACTTATATAATTCAAATAAGCAGAAAGTTGTATCAAATGTTATTGCAAGCAAACCAACACTTAATCTCATTGTCAATACAAGGAACCCCATGCATGCAACAAAGAGTTAAGACCGTACCTCGTACGCTGAGATGACCCTGAGGTCAAAGAAGATCGGCATGTAGAGATACGCTGCGGCCGGCGTGACAAGAAAGTACGAGAAGCCTATGAGCCAGTACTGTGTGCCGTTCTGATACACTTCTGCAGGAGTCCCTAGTAGAGTGATAGCCGACATAAAACTGAAATAGGGACACAGTGTTGACATCGGTGACATCGACAGTCGAGTCATCGCAGGTCAGTCTCTCTCGACTCCCCTCTCCAACCGTGAAGCAAACCATGTTCCATAGAGCTTTCTTTTCGTGCTATTTCTGCTTTTCATCTTATTTTTTATTTTGGTAGGGTAGTTTGGTATATCTCGCTGGCACTCGTTGCACTAAAAAAGGATTAAAAATGCCTACGCACATCCGTCCCTCCACTCCACCATCTCTCCCCCTTCCCACTTTATCCCCCTCCGCCCCGTCCATCACTCCACCTTCGTCCTTCCCACTTTATCCGTCCCTCCGTCCCGTCCATCCCTCCCCTTCCCACTTTATCCCCCTCCGCCCCGTCCATCCCTTCACCCGCTCCGTCCCCCTCACCTGGCTATGAGCGACATGGCCGCCGGGAAGGTGCCCATCTGACGGCCTCCGAGCAGGTACCCTTCCGTGTCTGCCATCTCCTTACTGTGACAGAGGCCGTAGTAGAGGCCAATGCCCAGAGAGATGGCCAGCAGGAGCGCAAACACCACATAGTCCACCGCTGAGAAGCGCGTCACCAGTTCATCCACGTTGATGCCGACCTTCTGAACGGTCTCGGCGACGGCAGTTACCGCGTCCGTGGCCATGGCGTCGACCGGACGGACCAGGTCAGGCCAGGTCAGGTCAGGTCAGGTCAGGTCAGGTCAGGTCAGGTCAGGTCAGGTCAGTCTGTCCCTCGGCTGAACGTGACTGTGCTGGTGGCGCTCACCGACCCCTGAAGAAGAGAGAGAAGTCACGTCAGATGGTGAGTTGCATCTGACGAGTTTGGATTCCTCATGCAGTTTGGCTTGAAAAGTGTGCGCCAAGTCGCACCCTAAATTTGAGCTTCCCAGCTACGTTGCATATTTGATAGCTGTGACTAAATGTAGACACCGGACGGTTAAGCGTTTTATGCTCGGTAATTTTTTTCTTTCGATACAACTTTTCTAGCTATCCGATTGAACTCTAACTGAGGTAATGAAATGGTAAATACTCTTGTGATTGTGACAATCTTCCTCGTTACATCTTTGTCCTCGTGTTCACCTCGCACATCAGTGATCATATGGGGTAGTGGTAATCTTTTAGCGCCGTCTTTTCAGCAAAGTAAGCATATTCGAACTTTGATTCTGGCTCAAATGAACGCATAGGTATTTACGGGAACCTTAGAAGAGGAGCCAGAAAACGGGAAGAGGCGTCTTGCCCTGCTATGTCAATGACCGGTGTTCTCCGAACATGAAAGGGTAAAAGCATCACCACGCGAAATGCAGCTGATGTTTGCTAAAGGACCCGTAACGTTTTTGAAGGACATCATTTTATAGGGGCATTATAAAAGCGTTTTTCTCTTACAATAGCCACATACTAATGCACATATTTAGGTATGCCCACCTTGCTACCGTTACAATTGTTGCACCTGACCGGGTCAGACGAGGCAGTTGGATGCGCCGCGAATAACAGGCATACGCAGCAAGGTCACCCGGACCAAGCAGTTGCATCTGCGCAACCCCAGCCGCTCGGCACCTACCCTCCGGGCATGCGATAACGGCAGCGGCGGCGGCGGCGGCGTTGGTAAAAACAGACCCGGTCCCGGCCTCGGGGAGACGGCAAAACAGCTGCTGCCTGCTACCAAGTGAAAGCGTGCTGATAGGAACACAACATTCAGAGCAGCATAACTTTTTACGCCTATCCCATCTATCTAATTGAACGTGTGCCACCTGTTCTGGAATACGCATGCTGTGGTCTGCAGATCGAGATCACGTTTGACTTCGCTCAGTTTCCCATACCTTCACATAATATTTCATATGTTTTCCGCCCCGGTAATGTTTCATAGTCACCCACAGTAAATTCGTAAATCACTTCATGAGCAAAGGACGGTGATTATAAGTTATAACATTGCTATCCGGCCGGTGGTAGAACGAATAGACGCACTGCTCAGAATATGGCTAGCAGAAATAAAGGCAAGCATCTCCTTCCATCGTTCCATGTTATCGCCTTCTACGTTTCCTCTATGGCGACCGGTCTTTCGTATCACAGGATCTCGGTCAGGTGTCATGGAGTTAAAGTCTTGTCACGTCCCTCACGGACTCCCCAGCCGGTACATCTGCGTAGTCTGTATCAACGAGTTTCCAGGGTGGTGTGGTCGTACTCTATGTACAGTCGTGACCTTGTAGTAGTGACCTTGCTGGGGGAGGACGCATGCGGCGTGGGTCTCGCCGCGGATAGATAAATTTTTCCCTGAGATGCCTGGAAAACACTGCTCTGTGTTGAATTAACTATCGCATAAAACAATAGACGCAAAATGTTTGCAGATAGGTAATAGGTATCTTGGTCCTGTCATGCATAATGACTGTGTTGCCTGTTTAAAGTGTGTAGCGTTTTGTATAAACAGACAATTATAAAACTAACCTTAAAATGCAGATTTTGATTTTGAGAACTGTGCAGAAATTGCAAAAAAATCATGACGTTTCACACAGTAATCTTGGATTCACAACGGTGGAGTAAATAGTAAGCTTTTTGTATTAGAACTCAGAATGTTAGTTTTCGTGACCGCACCCATTCTCTAGCCCTCGCACGACCAGGCCATTTCTCATAACACGAACGACCAGGGGGGGGGGGTTGTTACGACCCCCCCCTGGCGTTTCGAAACAGAAGGTCGTAGAGCTTAGCGGAAAAAACCAACGGATTGCTCTCAACGAGATCTCGCGATTGGTGGTATATTTTTTGGTCCTAGGTCAACATTTGACCTACTTATGACCGGTCAAAGGTCAAATTTTCCGAAAAAATCAAACTTTTTCAACTTTCCGCGGCGATTGCGGCAAAACGGTGGGAGATATCGACTTGAAACCTTCACTATCGTGTTCCTTGATCAATTCTCTATCGTTTGGTATGTATTTCGTTTCCCTAGCTCTAAAAATGGCGCGTTGGGAGCGCCGGAAGTCGGCAAGGTCACAGTCGGCGGCAGAAATTCGAAAAATCAAAATTTAAATTTTTGAAATCTGATTGTATTTTTGGATTTGGGAGGTCCATTTGCTCCCTATAGAAGCTAATATTGCTGCATATTCCCATTGAGGTGACAAGAATTAGCAAAATAGTGGTTCGGGCGCTTTTCAAAAATAGTACCGGACGCTGTTCCTCTTGTGACGTCATAGCTCCGTGACCTGACCTGACCCGGTCAATTTTCTTGCACCACACGATAGCCAATGCTTGCCCCAGCATGCATGGGAAGTTTCATCATGATCCATCAAACAATGTGGGTATCACCGGCAGAAAACCTAGGGATTCGGCGCACACGTTTGGTAACTGTCGGCCGGAGGCTGTACCTCTTATGACGTCATAACTCCATGACCTGACATGACCCGATCAATTTTTTTTCGGCAAAAGATGCGCAAAGGTTGCCCCAGAGGGTATTGAAAATTTCAGCCCGCTACGACGAGCCGTTTAGCGTGCACTTCGAAAAAACCTCAGGGGGGTTGATACAACCCCCCCCCCCCCTAGGCGTTCTAGGGCTAGCCTTGGACAACCACTCTGTGGGGGCCTCGGCTCGGCACCAGCGGGCTTCTCATTCTGTGCTCGACAAGGCCCGGTAACCGGCCACTCTGCGCCTCCTTTGACGTCACGACAATGCCCTGAGGCCATCTCTGTGTGCACCGGGCGTGACTGCTGGTTGTTGCAGGCCAACTCAGCAGTCAATATTCGTCGCCGTACGTACCTGGCTGTCGTCGGCGGCTCTTGCATCACGATCGCTTTCATCTTTACTTGGCTCTCCCGCGCCAAAAACAAAAACAAAAAATGCAAAGACGCATGCTTTAATAAACTTCAGTTAAACCAAAACTGGAGGTGCGGGAGTGTGCATTGTGCAACTATGCAACTTATGTATCTCACTCTCATTGTTCTGAACATGTCGGAAAACATGTCCAGCGTGTGAAGGCACTGTCGCTCCGAGCGTAGCCGGTGGTAGGCCACTAGCACAGTTACGATACCTGCTCTGGGAACGGGCCCCGCCCCGGTAGCGGTTTGGAGGGGACCTTGAAAACGTGCCCCGCCCGCGGCTGCTCGGCGTCGCTCGGCTGCCTCTCCCTCTGAATGCGACTGTTCCGTGTAGCCCTGGTTGGTGCCCATCACGGCACGTTTTTAGGGGCGCTCTCCGAAGGTCATCGCCAGTGCTCAATGCTCATACATGTGTGTGAACTGTATAATGTATCGTGTATGCACACATGAGGCTGGAACAAGCCAGCTGCCTGGTGATGTGATCTGCGGTTCGTCAGATGAGGAGGTGTGTTTGGCCAAGAGGGAGTATGGGGCGACGGTATAGCAGGCAGTGTGGTGGATACTACTTCGATACACTTAAAGTGTATCTAAATAGTATCTAAGTTTACGGGTAACGTAGTTAGTAAGACGATTATCCCAACAAAAAATTAATTTACCGCGGGATAACGCAAACGGGAACCCGCCATTTTTATTCGGTGATGTGATTTTTCGGCGTTTATCAATGCAGCCTCTCCCAACATGTCCGTTTCATCTAGCCGAGCTGCAGCCGCTGCTGGCTGGGGCCGGTTGAGTCAGCTCTTCTCATGTCTCCCCTATCCTCTCTCCACAGCCTTGAAACAATCGAAGGCCCCTTCCCTTCCCCTGCAGTCTGCACCCCCTTCCCTCCCCAGTCCCCACACATATATCGATCCATATATGACGTTCAGGAAGAAGGAACAGGACTGGACGGGATCTCATTGCGATACACCTTTTCCCTGTTCGGCGAGGTGAGAACTGAGGCCAGCACACCTCCAGCTGGCATCACAACGTGGCACGTGGCGGCGCCGCTGGCAGCAGGTCCTCCCTGTCACGATCAGCGCACGTGAGCCTGCATATGATGCAGTGCATTCTGAAGCGACGTGAGCGCCGTGCGACAGCACACAGTTCTCGAGACAACCACATGAAATCTATGGATACCCCTGATGACAGTCCGCAAATTCTGGACTGCCCGTATACTGTACAGTTCGATACGATCCGGACTCCGGACTGTCCGGGTTGCGGACCGTCCGGCACAGTTTGTACAGTCCGGCACAGTCCGGACCGCTTTAGAGTGGAGAGACCATGAGTAGCGCTCAGAGTCAATGGGATTTGGAGCAGGTCCCACAATGTTGGGCATATGTTTATGGGATTGTTTATGACTTCACTCTTAAACAGTGCTGGCTGCTGTGTTGTCACGGTGCCCGGCCATGAATTGGTCTCAAAGCACGTACAAAGGTTATTTTACTGGCAAGACATGGAAAGCGCCTCCCAAATGGTTTTCCTTTCCTACATTAGGTTATAGGTACAGGTACACCTATATGAACGTTCCATTGATGATAAGAATCGACTTCTAACAGTCTGCATCCACTGAAACCACCAAGTCATGGTAAATCCCGTAATCCCATAGGCTATAATCCCTTGAGCACGCCTCGCGTCTTCTAATTGACACAGACGTATGCCCGTTAGTCATAACGAATACAATTCAAAACTTTCCTATTTTAGGATTTCTTTCTTTATATGACAAGTAGAATTTACCTATATACAGGGTGCAGTGCATGCAGGTACTGTGGCAAAACACTGAAACACCTATATAGGTAATGCGTACATTTATTTTGATAAGAAATGTATAACGAATTTGAAAGTCATAATTAACAGCGCCAGATGAGAGTTTGTTTTGTAAGACCGTGTACTAAATTCGAGTGCTGATGGAGTCAAGGTGCGCCGTGCCGCTGGTATTCGAGAAGTCCTCTTTAACGAAAAAAAGGCAATTGTACCTGTAAGTTTGAAAATTTTTGTCTAAAAATACGGAAGTCAAAGCTCAAAACTAACTTGCTTCGAGGTCATGCCCTTTTGTATAAACACGGGTACAAAAAAGTGGCCTTCTGGAGGCGTGAAATGTTAATACAGGGATAAGGCGGCGCCCGGCACGGTGGACAACAAGAAAAGTTTATCTTTCGCAGAGCGTTGCAGTCACTTCTCAGCAAGACGGCATTCGCCAGAAACGGCCGCACAGAGGACACAGTAGGTATGATCCTACAAAACAAACAAATATCGAACAGGACTTTGCCTATAGAATTAGTTCGTGGCATATAGGGATGCGATCGCCACGCAACGCGTAACCTGTGTACAAAAATGCAGTCGTCACAACCATAGTTCTTTGAAAACGTTTTCTTATGGTGTATGACCGGTTATGAGGTATTACGTGCAGGTTTGCTACTTGCCATCAAAGAAATATCTCCTAATACTAGATTCGGTAGAAAGGACGGTTTGCTGTTGTAAACAAAATCAGTTTGCGCATATGTTTGCATCATAAATATTATATGAAAGAATAAACAAAGACGTGACACTGAGCGTTACCACACATGCTGCCAGTTTTTATACGCTTCAAATATTTAAAAACTGTTTGTGGACATGGGTTTTGCTAAAGTGTGGCAATTTGGAAACACTTACCAAACCTAAGACTCGCTTTGAAGGCATCATAAAAGTTGTTTTTCGTTTAGCGCATGCCGCGGAGAATTTAGGTTGAAATTGACACTCGAGAGGGACATGTCTGCGGCTCAGTGAAATGGAGGTAGATGCTGTACAGTCTGTCTTAAAAGTACCGCGCAAAGTGGCGGTGGATCCATCAAGCCTGACCGAGAAAGGGCCTGTTTTAATTTAAAAGTCACCGACCAATTGACCTAGGGAATGGATAAGGATGTCAGTTGCTTCAGTGACCCAAATTTAGCAGGCCCTTGCTCAGTCAGGCTCGATGGATCCACCGTCACTTTGCGCGGTACTTTTAAGACAGACTGTACACCTGACTGACCTGCCCGCAGAGTCCTCTCGCCCTGGGTCCGGCCGCTCCGCTCCGTCCACGAGTAGCCGCTCGTGCTCGGGCCGCTCGCGCACTGGCCGCGGGCTGGGAAAGTGGCCGACTGGACAGCGGCGCCACACAGCACTGAACAGCCGTCCCTGCGCGCCGCGCGGTCACCGACGTAGTGTGCAGACGGCCCGTACAGGACGACCTTCAGCGCGGCTCGCGGACGGGCCCGCCCCGCGCCCCGCGCGCTGCGCCGCGCACCAGGTGAAAACACAGCACGCCCCGCCCTCGGCTGACCTGCCGCACCACAACAGCAGGCAGCGGGCGGCCCGCAGCCTGAGTCCTCTCGCTGCAACTAAAGCCGAGAAGGACGAATTGAGGACCCCTGAATATGGGTTGGACCAGTGTGGGGGTCATCATTACTGTTCGTGGCGCGCTCTGAACGTCTCCTGGTGAATGGAGGTGAGAAAATCCTTTGTTGAAACAACTAAGTATTTTGTGCTATCTTTGTCGAGAAGACAGCGCAATACTTGCTTCAATGAGGCGATGATTGGCAGAAAAACAGCAGGGTTATGCTGCTGCAGACAGGTCTATTGCAATCAAAGCGAGCTTACGTGATTCAGTCATCATAATGAGGGGGGAGGGGAGGGGGGCATGATTATACCGTCAGAGTGTGGAGATGTGGCCTATTACGGTGGATGGCGGAAGTCGTGAAAAATATCGCCATGAGATAAAGGAACTATTGCACTTGAAGCTTGAAGCATGCATATAAGCAATTAGTACAACCCTAGCTGATAGCTACTAAGAGACACACTGAACCTAATTTGACCAAAGCTGCATCTAATCTGCACCAGATGTGCACCAAATGTGTACCAGATGGCCGTCGTGAAAACGGCTATTGTATACCTACGTTATGGTGTGTGTGATCTAAGCTCTTTAGATGTATTCCAGCAAATATAACGACAATAAATCCCTAGAAGTTTCGGCCACAGGATGGCTTCGTCACCAGATCGTAACCACGCTCCACAGCGGTCGGCACTCTCTTTTTGCCTCTCTTTTTTTGGGAGGAAAGGCTTGCTTCAAGACTTCATCATGATGCTGACCGATAAGTGCGTGTCATCGGGCGTTCGCTGTGTTTACTCCGCTCATCTCTGGGACCACACGCATACCGTGTAGATCCGAGTTCGAGCCAGCCGACCCATTTGTCGGCACACAGCCGGTCAACAGACGTCTTGGCGAGCCTGATTAGTGATCGGTGATAATCCGCCTGCACGGGCTATGACTGGTGCTTTCTGACTTTCCTGCTGAGTCAAACAAAAGTGCCCCAGCTTCGCGGTATTTTACCCAACTAACTAGCCCGAAAGGCCTCCTTTTGATGCGCAGGCAGGGCTTTCCGCAACCGTCAGAAAGCTGTTGTAATTTCTCTGTGGGTAGCTGTTTGCCACACATTTGTCCTGGAAGCCAACTAACTGTGCTCAGCTTTACGAGGCCATCGCCTACCGGCCGACCACCCAACTGACCGAATGACCGCTCAAACGAACCAACCGATCAACCACCCAAACGAATCGACTGATCAACTACCCAAACGAGCCAACCGATCAACCAAACGAACTGAGTGTTCGACTTTCCGACCGCCACGACGCGACTGTTCCATGGCACACGTTGTGAACCAGCCCAGTGCTGCGGAGTCGACAGATTTTCGGTGACTCCGATTCCGACTCCAACTCCGGTTTCCAAAGGTGACTCCGACTCCCATTCCGACTCCCTTCAGAACTGCCGACTCTGATGGACTCTGACCGTCTCCGACTACAACTCTGACTCTGACTCCGCAGCCCTGCGCCCGCCTTCACCGTACAAGGGTGCCGCTGATCTGTTGACTGACCATTGACCACTGACCACCGACCACTGACCACTGACCACTGACCAGTGGCGGTATAAACCGCCGGGAAGTCCTAGCCGATACCTGGGCGCTCCGACCGGTACGTGCCCACCTGAGTCCGATTCCATTGTAAACACAGCTGGCTGCACTCAGGGGAGAGGGGGCTACCCCTCCCCACCGTCCCCGTCGAGCTTTGCTGCCTGATGCAAGCTGCCGAACAGGAAAGAGCGCCGAAGTCAGGAGTGGAATAGTGCCGAGGAGAGATGCAAAAGCCAAGAAGCATCATTGTTTTCTCCGAGCTAGCGTCTTATGGATGGTTTTCACTTGTCAACTTTGCTCTTTGGGGTTATTCCGTGAAATGATGCACTGTCGATGAGTTTAACGGCTATTGAAGGCATGTAATGAATTTAAAATTACGGTTACATGCGAAAGCTCAGCCTTTCCAAGATATTTCTATTAAATAGACCAGATACAGGTACCTACCTATAGGGAAGTGTTGGCTAAGTTATGGTTTTATGTGGTGATGAGCAGTAAACACACAAAGAAACGAAATTTCCGTGACACATTTCAGACCTACATATACTGAGCAGTGAGCATACAGCATAGGAATTAGGACTTAAAGGAAATAGTTCACTTTCACGAAATTATATTTTTTGCAATGGATTTATGATTTTTTATGTTCAAAATGATCAGCAAAGAAAATAAAACCTTTTTATAACAAAATATTATTTTCTATATTTTTGATATAGGAAGAACTTTTCAGTTTCTGTAAGGCACACGCGATCCAGTATGAAAAGAGCATGGGTCCCGAAAATTCTTCAGAAGCTAGAGAAATTATCGCGGCCACCGGCATTTGGGCGATCTGCTCATGCTTTGTTACTGGAGCGCCTCTGAAGAATTTTCTGAATAATTTTCTTTTGTTACTGGAGCGTTTCTGAAGAATTTTCGGGACCCATGCTCGTTTCATACTGGATGCAAATATATGCAAGGCACACAACCTCAACGCAAGGCACCTTTTTCGGGACGAGAAATAGAATATCTTTGCCTAGGGTGATCGTTGGGCTGTAAAAGCTCCTGATTTATGCTCGTCTCAGCCCAAGCTACGGAACTGCTATTCCAGTTAAAAACCCATGTTAAAATGTGAACTATTTCCTTTAAAAGTTCATTCAAGGTACTTTTTGGCTCCTAGTTATTCATTGTTTTCCTTTCGAATTTTCGACCATGTCGCATCGAGGTCGTTGTCAAGAAACATGGCAACAATCCAAATTGTTGCCGTTTCTTGACAACGACCTCGCTGTGCAGAGGTCGAAAAAAAACGAAAACATCATGACTATCGAGTAGCCGAAAAAAACGTACCTTGAATAAGATGCCTTGTTATAAAAGCTTGAAATTATACGCTTAAAAGCTCAAAAGACAGAAAAAAAAATTGTAGTCGTTGGATAGATAACAGAGCGCAACCGTAAGACGATTTTCGAAACCAGCGCCCCGGATAACCGTTCCATTGATCAGCAATCTGCAAACACTCCCATGGGAGTGTGAAGTCGTACGGTGCGGTACGTAGGGTGTTGGGAGGTCAACACCGCGACATGTTGGCAAGATGGACTGCTGGACACTGGAACATTAGCATAACTAGATATTCAAACGCTGGGTTCCTCGCTGACTGTATGATGCAACTCATTCATGTTTCATTGATGCAGTTGCTTCTCATTGTAGTTGTAGTCGAAAATTTCGTCTTAGTAAAATAGTATGTATTCCGTTGCTAGGCTTCGGATAAATGAAATCTTTCCAGACTGATTTTTCATGATATTGGCTACTTAACCCGTGCCGGGCCGGTGCTCGGCGCCAACCGCGCCGGAACGGGGGATGTTTCAATCAGAGTAGGTATACATATATACCTATAGTATAGATATATGCTGGGCCACGTAGCGACACGCGGTAAGCGGCATTCGAAAGAACGTCCAAAGCATGACGAAAATACATCTGTGACATTTTTTGGTCGGGTCACAGGTCAGTTCACCAGAGGTAACATGCTGCCTATTTCAGCATTTTTCGAAAAGCGGCGTACCTATAACTCGGGAATCAAGAGCGGCCGCATTTATTTTTTCATCGTCATCAGTGCCCATTATTTTTTTATTTTTACAATATTTTTTAGCGCCGCAGTATCACGCATTCGATAGCCCTTTCAACGCTCTATCCGATTAAGCTCTCAGATTTGACCTGGGACTAGCGATTTAGCCTCCAGAGGGCAATAACTAGAAAAATAGCAGTTGTTACGATTTTTTCTGTAGGTAAAAGGTAACTTTTGACTCAAGATAGGCACAGCATTTAATTTGCCAGCATCGTGTTCCTCTCGTCGAGAAGCGTCGAATGAACTACATTTTTGACATTGAAAGGTCATTTTCAAAAGTTGACCTAAGGTCAAGGTCAGACCTGACCGGAAAAGGTCATGTTACATATCATAGTCGATCCATATCACCAATTTGAACACGTCTAAGTTGTTTTCATCGATATTTAGTAGGTATGGATGAGACAACATCTTATGATTATAAAGCATCAAATTTATAGTACAACCATGTATTGTTATAAACAAATATAAACAATTAGCTTATTACTAGCATATTAGCCGTTCTCACGACGGGCTATCCGCCGAATGCCCCTAATTTGACCCATGGGGCAAGTGCCGCAGGCCATAAGCACGGCGACTGGCCTTGCCCAGGCAAACGCCAATTTCATGTTATGGCGAATTGCCGCCTGGACGAAAAACCCCTTTGACCTACCACTCAGCCACCGCCCTTAGAGCAGGCACTAAGACCTGTGTATGCCGACGAAACGGTAACAGGGACAGGTGCCGCCGGTCAAATTACGGTGACCAGCCTTGCCCGGACTACACCAATGTTCTGTATTGGTGAATACTAGTGATGTCAGTTACGGAAAATCGGAATACCGATACCAAACCAAATACCAACCAAAACCGTGGAGAAATACCGAAACCAAACCAACTTGGGAACATGAGGGAAATACCAACTTTTTACCGATTTCTTAGCCTCTTATACATTAGTGGGGGTTCATGATACCAACAAAATACCAAGCACATTAGGATTGAAATATCAAATACCAAGTTGGTATCGGTTTGGTATCGGAATACCAAAAAGTCGGTATCCGATTGACATCTCTAGTGAATACCGTCGGGACGAAAACTGCCGTGGGCCCTTAACTCGGCTAACGCCTTGGTGCTAACCGTCACCGCCGATTGACCGCCGGCGTACGCCGCCGGTCGCATAGACAGACACCCGCCTCGCAAAAAGGTACCAAAACTGGTAGCATGCGATATAGCCACGGGCCCTATGAACGGCTCTACGCCACAGTCTATCCTCGGTAAAAATAAATAACCGTTAGCCTACTAAGGCGACCCCACGAACGACAACCTCGATTTAACGCGCAACACATGCTATAAGGGCACTGGGCGGTGTGCAGTCCTGCCACGCACAGCCGCCAGGAATCGGCTAGCCTGACTTTTACCTTGATGCGTTGTATGTCAAAGCAGTGCGCGCGCACCCGGTCGCTCTCGTGACCGGTCACCGAAAGGCCGCGCCGCCGCGCCCCACCCCGCGAGGTCGCGTGCGTGACGTCACTGCGCGCGCAGGTCAGCGAGCCGAGCGATAAAAGAGTTTTGGGGTAAAGCCTGCGGCCTCCCCCAAAACCGCCATTTACAGCAAATATCTTCATTTTATGAATTTATTACAGTGTTTTAATCGATGATGCTCTCTGATAATATGACAAAGCAGGCATATACTCGTAAGCAATTAGTGCAACCCTAGCTTATAGCTACTAAGAGATACACTGAACCTAATTTGCACCAAATGTGCACCAAATGTGTACCAGATGGCCGTCGTGAAAACGGCTATTATCTCATCCATGGCTATACCATGTCTCTATAAAAAGTTATTGTCAAAACATTGCTGGAGATCATTCATGGCCTGAGATGACCTCGCGGACATATAGGAAGGGGTCACAAGTGCAATTTTCCTATTCAATGTGTCAAGTGTAGGTTCGGCTCTAGCGAGATTAAGCGGTATGTTTTGCACTTTTACCTTTCCGGTTATATCTCAGAAACTAATCGATCTACGATGAAGCCATTTTACACGATCATGGCCGGCTTGTGAACCAACAAGTCGATCGCATCTTCAACACTTGAAACCTTAACCCTCGCCGGCCGAGGGGGGAGCGGGTGCCGCCCCCCCCCCCCCATAGGTTTTTTTTTGCGATAGCTCCGAACACGCTGGTGATAGAGAGCTGAAACTTGGCATACCTAACCTTTGATTCAAGCCGAATCTTTTGACACCAACCGCATTTTCAGGTCAGGTCAGGTCACCGACCTATGACGTCATAAGTGAACCTCTGCACGGTCTTCATATGTCGCAACTTCGCAACGCCCTCACTGCCAAAGGAGCTTTCACAGGGAAATGAAACTTGCAGTATCTAGTATCCATTACGAGTCTCACAACTTGTATATCTCGGATTTTTCCTGAAGGTCATATGAGGTCAGGTCATTTTCGTGACCTCACCATTATAAGTCAATGGAGAAAAATGAAAACTGCTATTCTGGCGCCGGGAACGATCTCCAACTATCTCAACTCATCTCAAGCACACATAATCGTGATTTAATGCACTCCTTGCAAGGTTAGATGCGTCACTTTTGCAATGGTGACCTTGCGTGACGTCATTTATGACATCATCAAGGTAATATTAGTTTTTCGTCAATACCTAACTCCCGATCAAATTGAGCTAGCGAGTTGGGAAAGCCACCAATGGACTCAGGAGACCTGCCGAATCGAATGATATGCGAAATGACCTCTTTCGACCAACTTCGTGACCTGGGGGCGCTGACCTGACCGTGACCTGAGGTCAACACCCTAAGTTGACCTGACCCAAACAAAAAGTATATCATTTGACGCGCCTGAGCGAGGCGAACACGATGCTGCCAAAATGGCGGCTCTGCGGCCGTTTTTTTTTTTGCGAGGCTATTCACCAAAAGCTGAACCGTACCTTGGGGCACTTGACCTGACCTCAGAGGTCACCGGTCGACCTAGGACCTTAAAATCGGGTACCGTTCTCTGCGTCTCGTAACGGCGCACACGCTCGTTTTTTTTCCGCGACGCGCTAGCTCCACCAGGGACGAAACGGCGAGGGGGGTCGTACCCGCCCCCCCTCGGCCGGCGCGTATGTGGAAAACCAATAGGTCCGGCGAGGGTTAAGACGACGAAGATAGCCTCAAGTACCTACACTAAATTTTCTAGGTGCAAGACCTATACCGCTAAAACCCGCGAGATCTGTAGGGTAAGGTGCCTAATTAGCGACCCTTTCCGATTTGCGACCTACCTCCTTACAGAAAAACTGGCAGGAGAAAACGGGGTAAAAACATCGTCAAAAGGTCAGCCATACTTTGGTTAACAAATTAAATTATTTTCCGGTCGTCGATGTTTCTGGTGGGACGTTTCAGGTGAGTTTAAATAAAAATGACGAGTTTCTTATCCAAAAAGTGTGTGTTTGGGCCCTCTCTGATGAAAAGCGATGCACATTAGGATGATGCACCTTTTTTATTCTGAATCGACATTCCTTTTTCAATTGATTGCCGTTTTCCCATAGTGAATCGCTCAACTGTGCACAGCATGGCGGTTAAAAATGTGTCGCAACTCATATTTCCTATTTGCGCCTGACATGGTCGCAAATAGCTCAAGAAGGGAAAGAAAGGGGAAAAGGGAGAAATGAAAATGAGGTGTTGCTGAAGCTTGCAATGTGTGGCAGGGGATGCCAAATGTCGTCACCGACTGCAGGGGTGCCGAATTCAGCGCGGACCTCAAATATCATACGATATAGCCCGCAAAATTTGGGTTTCCGCCTTCTTTTCGCCTTCAGTGCATCACGTGATCAGTTTTTACTTACGTAAATGTGTTGGATAAACGTGCATGTTCGAGTGATTGAGTGCTTTGCGTATAGGTTACCTTTTTGAGATCATATTTCATCTTTTCAGGCGTCGCATTTTTTGCCATTTTTAATATGGGGAAACCCATAGACTTATTAGCGACCCTCCCCGGTCGCTAATCGGGAAGAGTTCCCTATTAGCGTTTTTTGCAATGGTCTGCCAAAATGCTCACTACAAATAAGTTAGTGAATATTGGGGCAGAAAATGACTATATTTTAATAGAAAAATGAACGATCTCTCCGAAAATCAAGCCAGTAATACAGTGGCACCCACAGAGCGTGAGCAATGACGGTTCAAATTAAGGGGGTCGCTAATTAGGCACCTTACCCTACCTGTATCCCGATGTAGTGTCTAGAATCAAGAATGGCGTTCGCTCAAAGCAGGCACCTTTCAATTATCTCCTTTTGACGTACTAATAATGGACACACTCCATAAGCTAAGTGCTATATAAAAACGACCATTCTGTCGTGTGCTATTGACCATATCGTTAGAAATACCTGTTAGAAAGGACGAGGGTTTAAACGACTCCAAACGATCGGCTTGGACATTCGGAAAATAAGTTACAGAGTAACGACACCCAATGTGGCGGCCTTGCTTTGTATCTACAATCGTACAATGTGCGCAGTATCAGCCACAAATCCCCTGGCCAATGGCCATGCCTACTGTTCCCAATCATTATGATACATACGAGTACACGTTTACCACAATCTATATGTCTATCATGCCTCTATGTAAACAGTTCGTCCGATGACGGCATTAGTTTCAACTTTCCAGTCGCGGCTGAGGTGCCCCCTCATCGGACTGGTCCGGGCCTCCCAATGACGTCACACTGACGTCATATGGTGCCGTACCGGCCGAGTCGGAGAGTGCATTGGTACAATTGAGTCGTGGGGCGACGTCTGCAGTGCTGCGATAACGGGAGACCAGGAAAAGCCGCTAACGCGGGGCATTCCCGTCCTATTCATCAGCAGCGTGAACAGTTTTCGTGGGGTGCTTGCAATGCATTGGATTGATCATACAGTCATTGCAAGAAATGAGCGCCAAGCGGGGTGTTCCAAAGGTGGGCCTCCATAGAAACAGTCAATATGACAGCAGTCTGCGTCACTGAAAACGGCACATTTCCGTTCAGGTAATGCAAAAACTAAGAAATCTAAGCCGATCAACAATCTCACACAGTGGTGATCACGCAGTTGCGACACTGCCCTGGCTCGATAAGCTAACTGAAAGACATGGTCGGGATCACGGATTCACGGCAGTGAACGCAGTTGCTCGAATCTGGTTCGAGAACCGTCCCGGCTCTACCTTTCATCTGTAAGGCCCTGACGGCTAAAAAAGTTGTCCACTGGCAAAAAGTTGTCCAGTATTCGGGATTGACTTTTGTTCGGTTGCAGCGATGATATGCCGCGTACGGGCCCGTCAGCGAGCGTGGCGAGCCTCGTGCGGCTGTGGCTGTCGGACTCGGGTCCTCGCCTGCAGCAGTTGGCTAACCTACTTCAGTAGACCGGCGGCAGCCGCTCAATTCGGACGGGAGAGGGTTGTCTGTCAAGGCCAGCGTCTCTGAACGACGGCGGGACGGTCCAGCGAGCACTAGCGCCAATCACAAGACAGCCTTTTTTACATGAATCTATGTAGACGATAGTCAGGAACAGGCCCGCTGCCTCGGACAAGTGCACCGGTACAGAGATGTCCACTTTTTCAGCGTTTAGAGCTGATCGTCGTTATACCTGTACCGCTGACCTGCGGTCAGCTTAAGCGCTTTGCACACTTCGTCAAGCTACAGGTGTCTAGCAATCAGGAGCCAACAGGAGCTGACTGAGCAGGATGATCATATCATCACCTGCCTGCACAATAGCCAGGAGACTCGATCAATGTATGTGCATTGCAGAAGAGGGGCCAAGGCCAGGTCTATTTTAAGCCGGCTGGAATCACTCGCTATTTAACATATGCTCGCCTATGCAATAGGGCTGAGCCGGGGGTGAAGTGCAACGCCAGTCTCCATGCAATTTATATTAGACGACGCACAGGCGACATTCAGCCTACATTCTGGCAGACGTCTGAAAACTTGGGTCATTGCCGTGCTGAGTGTGACGCGTCGGTCGCATAACTTACGACCGAATATTTGAGTGTAGTTGATAGACGCAGTCATTTAACTTCTCAAGTGTTTAACTATGTACTGGGTGATTTACCGTACTGAGAACATTCCGGTATCAGTTGCGGAGAGCTCCAGCGCCATATTCATTGACACGTTCTATGAAAGTATTACCTAAATACCAGTTGAGGCTCACGTCGGCAAGTGATTTCAGTAGCACCCTCCACCCCAATAGGCCGCCTCAATGAGCGTCGGACGTTACTGGGCACGTTCCCCGTTCAGTACACCCGCCCCTCCGACCGGTCACAGACTCACCACCATTGACGACAGGCGATGACTCCCGTTCAAAGCGCTGTATTACTCAGACAAGCCAGGACAGCGGAACACGTGCTCGTCGCCAGGTAAGCCACTCGCCAAGGCACGGAAGTCATACAAGTCCTCACAGCTTCTCGACACAGCGCACTTCTCACCACACACGCGGGAGCACACAATAACAAACAGAAACACCTACACACATACAGACACACACAGGCAGACGTACGAACGGGCGGGCAGGCGCGGCGTGCCAGCTGTGGTCGCGGGGTCAGGTGTTGGCAGAAAACTTATCGCCTGCAGTTAGCTGTATCCTTCCCCGGCGGATAGGACTGTACCGTCGAGGGCACCCCCTCAGCCATACCGCCTAACCCAGCCGGCCTTACCGGCCCCAGCCACCACTGCACCACTCCTCTGAACACACGGGACAGTAGTTCCCGTCTCCTATCCAATGAACACTTACCCTGATCGATCCGGCGACAGCACGAGACAACGGAAGCACACGATATTATCAACACAATCACATTTTCTGTGTTACCCTATTGCCAACATTGAACAAGCATATTATGCCATTTGTGACTCTTTAGTTTTACTCAATTATGCTTTCACGCTTTCCGGACTGATTCGAACATTTATCAGAAATGCTAACGGTAAGGGCAATTGTTCCTTGCTAATGGAAAGAAACGTATAACAAATGCGTATGGAGAACGATGCGATTATGGCATGTAGCTTGACGGGAATAAAAACAAAAGTTGTTCCTCTTATCATACGCACACATGAGTGAATGGTAAGCCAGGAATAGCAAGCTTCTGTGCGTGTCTGATTGTGCCACAAGCTACCGAATAGCGCAACAATGCTTTGGTTGGATATCATTGCGATAAATTTATATAAACGTATCGTAAGTACAACAAAAATCACTCTAGATTGCACCATTGTGTTGCCCTTAATCACAAATAAAATCAACTAAAAATCTCCTCTCAAACTAAAATCCTGACACACCGGACGAATGGTGAATCCCTGTGCTGAATTATTATGCTAAAATGGATGGAATACCTAAGTCTAACTAAATACTATGCGGTTGAGATCGACCGCGCAGTACGCCATAACAAACAATTCAACGACAAACAAACACAAGCGACGCTGAGGCGGCGCGCCTAGCCAGCGCACACATTGCGTGACATCTGACCGACAAACTACAGCGTCCCGGCGCCGGTCTGCGCGCATCAAAACCGGTTCCACGACCGGCACACATCACTTATCTCCGGCAGTGCCGTTCGAGGCGGGCGCGGCGGCAGCGCCATCTGTGGCCGGCGCCGGTAACTGCGAGTTCCCCGTATTGCCAGTGGCAGCGTTGGCGGCCGCCACCATCGCAGCGAACATGGAGTTGGGATGCGCTAGCAGCACGGACGGCTTGCCGAACTCCACGACCTGAAAGATGGCGTCAAAGCAGAAACGTTATTAATTCGTTTTTTTTATCGTCAAAGAAGGACCAGAGAGATCCAGCCTGAGGATTTAGCTGGGTCACTCAATGATAAACCCGTGAGGCGACTAGCAATCGTAGAGCGAAATCTTACAACCAGCAAACGTTACGTGTGTGTGTGTGCGCGCGCGTGTCGCCCCTCGTTTCTCACCTGTCCGGCGTCCAGGACGAGTACCCGGGACGAGGCGAGCACCGTGTTGAGTCGGTGCGCGATGGTGAGCACGGTGCAGCTGCTGAACGCTTCTCGGATAGTAGTCTGGATCAGCGAGTCCGTCTCCGTGTCGATCGACGCCGTGGCCTCGTCCATCAGCAGGATCTGGCAGAGACGGGACAGTGAGACACTGGCCGGGACACACACAGCGGCCTCGTCCATCAACAGGATGTAGCCGGCAACACGAATACAAATACGAATACACGGCAAGTGACTATGTACGAACTTTACAAAGTCCTTTCACTATCATATTTTTTTAGTGTCTTTGCAGGGCGTACCGACTTTTAAGTGCTTCAGCAGGGCCCACACTGACCTAGAAGTGTCTCAGGCCTCAGCTAGGGGACACACACTGAAGTAGTAGTATCGCTATTGGGTAGGTATAGGACATGGGCTGACCTTGAAGTATTGCAGGTTATGTCACACCAAGCTCACCTTGGAGTGCCTGAGCAGAGCACGCGCCATACAGATGAGTTGCCGCTCTCCGACGCTGAAGTTCTCCCCGTTCTCCAGGACGGGCGCCTGAAGCTGGAGCTCCAGGGCGGCCACCTTCTGTTTCATGTGGGTGCGCTCCAGGGCCTGCCACACCTGGGCGTCCGAGTAGTGGTCGAACGGGTCCAGGTTGTACCTGAGAACGGAGCGGCGCAGGTTGTCAGCAGAGGTCAGCAGACCACTCCTGGGCGCCTGAGCAGTTGGCTGTTCCCGAGGATCGTGACAGCGCGGCCGTCACCAGCGAGGGATGGGGTCAGAAAGACACTTATCATCACTAAAAGGGGCAACACCAACCGTAGCAAACAGGAGACGGAGACGGGAGGGCGCCACTATCGGATACGAACTATTAGAGCAGTATCGCGTGTCCGCATTTTGCATTTGGAGACAATAATTTACCGAATTAACGGACTATATAGCATCTGGCTGTATGCTACCGCAGCAGACCTACCAACTACCAAAAGCGGCCGAGGGAGCCGTTTTCCGTGTCCCTGTCTCCATATTTACCTGACGGTTCCTAGGAAGAGCACGGGGTCCTGCGGTATGATGGACAGCCTGGAGCGCAGGTCGGCCAGGCCCACAGTGGACACGTCCACGCCGTCCACCAGCACCCGGCCCGCCTCCGGCTCCACCAGGCGGAACAGGGCCACGCCGATCGACGACTTACCCGAGCCCGTGCGGCCCACGATACCTGGGGAGGGACCGAGGAAGACGACAGACGTCACATCTGACACCGGCATCTTATCATTAGAAATGAACTGCGGTTGCAATCTCAGGTCCGTCCGCTTTTGCAAAGCCTCATAGTTTTTTTTAGACACATAAATAACGCTCGCTATTTCTTCCCTAGTCACGAAGTCGCCCCTCACGCCACTGCCCTCTGTCCGCGTACTGACCGATTTTCTCCTGTGCGTGCACGTCGAATGTGACGTTTTTGAGCACCTGCGGCAGCTCGGGTCGGTAGCGGAGGCAGACGCGGCTGAAGGAGACCCGACCCGCCTGAGGCCAGTCGGCGGCCGGACGGTTGGAGGGCACCACGGCCGGCGCCTCCTGAGCCATACACTGCGAGGGCACACAGCTGGGTTAACAGCCAGATACATTCAATAGACTGACACATAACCATAGGCTCGGATGTAAGAGCCATAACCACTGTCAATTTGTGAAACAGGATCAGAAAGGCTACCGGTTATTCTCTAAGCGTAAGCGAAAACTTGCCAACAATATCGCTCCCACACCCTGGGGCCGGAGCTGGACCCGTCCCCTTTCATTTTAATTACACGCCACTCCGTCATGACTATGTAGCGATCAATCCTCCTATCCGAGCCTTGCGGCTTGTTATGTCACTCTTTCCGCGGTTGACCGAGTGGGCGACAACCCACCCCACCCAAATCTAATGACGACAGTGAAAGAGCAATCCACCCCTCTATGATACAACAAGCCGTGTAGGCGTCAATATACCCCACCCAGGTCTTCTCACAGCCGTCTTGGTGTCAATATACTCCATCCTTTACGCAAGATTCCTACAGATGCTACTCACGGCAGTGTAGGCGTCGATTCTCTCCACCGATGTGAACCTCGCCTCTGTCTCGCTGCTCAGCCTCACGGTGAACTGGAAGAGACCCGAGAGCTGGGCGGCGTAGGCCATGGCCAGACCGGCGAACGCGGCCGGTACCACGCCGTGGGAGGCCAGCACGAACACGGATGTCAGCGCTGTGATGGTTACTGTTGGGAGGTAGAGGGGGGGGGGGGGGGTCAGTATAGCGACATGGGCTAGTGACAGTAGAGCGACAGTAGAGGTCAACGGACTGACGTGCCAGGGGTTACAAAATTCACAGAGTTAGGTCATAAATTGAGGGGTCATGGGTCACCATGATAGAAGTGGAAAGTTAACAACTGACGGGTGTCGGGTGTCAAGGTTCACCAGCTGACAGATGTCAGGACTAGGAGTCATCGTGATGACAGGGATAAGAGGTCGCTGGTTTAAAATAAATCTGAAGCCTCAGCGCGGCCACACGGGTCAAAAGTCACTGAATCGATCTGGACCAGATGTCAACCGTCAAATAGCGGTAAATGCAGGGACCAGGCTTCAATAGAAGCACGAATAGTTCAGAACGAGGCGGCTAAATAATAAATTCAATATAAATATGAGAAACATTGGCTTGTCATCCTAGCTGTTATCCTCAAGACATTTCAACGTCTTTCAAGCTACAAAATGTGCTATTTTCCACCATTAGTAGAACAAACATGAACCAACTATGTGAGGATTGTCGAGTCGAGTCCCACCGAGCGCAGGTCACCCTCACCGGTCAGACTGTCCAGCCGGATGGCCACCCAGCGCATGGAGCAGTTGAACAGGTAGAACGCCGACGAGTTGTCGTCAAACTGGCCCATGAACCTGCCGGACGAACAGAGATCGTCTCAGTCAGTGACTAACGTACGGTAGCCGCCATGAGCAGCGTCTTCTATCGTAAGGCTCTATCATCTACACTAAGTTACTGGATACAGGACCCCTGAAAAACCTCAATAAAATTAATACTTTGAGAAATATACTGTGAGAAGGGAGGAAAGCGAGACCAATGCACCTACGATTGAACCCTAACGATTCGTCGCGAGCTTATTTTGGACGACCGGGTCCGGATGCCACATGGACTTGGGTATGGGACATGGGTAAAAAGAAGCCCACACCGTGGCGGTGCTTTGCTCAATTAACCAAGCAATTACGGGACAGCGTTTGTTTATCTCTTCATGCAATTCAGCCAGAGCTTCGATTTGCCACATTCATTTAAAAAAGGAAAACAGCAAATCAAAACAAGAAGTCTTCTACGCAATATATTTCAACATTCTGGTTCAGGGAACACATGACAAATGTTTATAAAAATGAAACATATATTGCGACATGGGTACATGCCTGAAAAGCAGACTCCGAGCTAAACAGTCAAGAACCGCAGGCGTTCACAATCCGCCTCCAACGTGCGACAGGGCACATCTTCAGAATCGCAAGGCAAATATTTGTTGAATGTTTCATGGAGTTTCAGAGCGCGCCGAAAGGGCCAAACCCACGATACGGGCTGCTGATCCCTTTCTATCACATACGCGTGATATCATCGGCGATGATGGCGGTACAGTTTATCAAGACAATGACGGCACTGCCCTGCCTCAGAATGCCTCCTCTCGCATCCAGTAGAGCACTGTTCCGGACGCCGGCTGTTCCGGGTGGATCCACGGGCTGTGACTGTAGTGAGTGTCCGTCTCGTGCGACACCAGAGTCCCCCACCAGTTGTCGCCGCCAGGAGTCGTCGTGGTCAGCACCGGCGAACGTCCGTGAAGGCCCGTGTTCAGCCACGGCATCCGCTTCTTGATGCCGAGGTTCTGGTAGTCCCACTTGTTGAAGAACCGCACCCGACTGACTTCCGTCTGAGATCCAGTCTCGTCTATAAAGCTGTAGAGCCTCGGCGCCAGCCAGATGCCGCCCCAGCGCTGGCGGCCCTTTTCGGCCTGCGTCTCGATCCGGTAGGCGAACCTGGCGCCCTTGCCGAGGTCTCGGATGGAGTCGGCCTCGCCCAGAATCGAGTAGTCGGCCGAGAGCGAGGGTGAGAGCGGATTGCGACTGAGCGCACTCAGCGGGTCCCACCCAGGGTGAGAGACCGCCGTCAGCAGCAGCGTCCAGCCGCCGCCGTCGTGGCTGAAGTCGCACAGCACCGGCACCGGCATCCCGGTGAACCAGTAGACGCCGTCCTGTGGGTCACCGCCCTGGTTACGCAGTTGTAGACAGGAGCGGGCGCAGGCACGTATCGCCGGCTCCTGGTGAGGCGCCGCGTCCAGAGCCAGTGGTGTCGGGGTCGCCTCACACGCTGTCACCGGCTCCGACTCTGGCTCCAGAGACCGGGGAGACGTCTCGGCGCGCGCTGTGGGACAAACTACGTCCCCACCGCCGCCGCTGTCACTACGGCGGTCAGCCAGAGCAGACAGTTTCAGATCAGCCACATCTCCGACCACCGTGTCCATCCGCAGCTCCAGACGCGCCAGCTGGACGGCCAGCTGCGACAGCTGCCAGCTGCTCTGCGAGCGGGACACCACCTCCTCCAGCACCGGCGACAGCAGCGTCTTCAGCTGGTCCTGCACCGACGGCTGCGGTAGCTGGATGTCCGGGATCTCACCAGCGGCAGAGTCCGGTGACGGCAGAGCCGCGGCCGGCGCCGCCAGCAGGCACAGCACGACGGCGGCGACACGGCGCAGAGACATTGTAGCTCGGCTACTGGATACGATGCTCCTGGTCTCGCTGGATTTGCGCAGCCGATCCTTCCAAAGCTCGAGCTGCTGAGCTTATCCTTGTCTGGTCACCAGCGGCTCAATGCAGCAGTTCCAGGCCAAGCCACCGTTGAATCTGTACAGCTAATCTTGGCCGAGCCACAGGTCTCTATCCGTTAGATTTACGTAGCACTGTACAACAGTCTAGGCTAGGCGCCGGGGATGGCGTCGTAAACTTTACAGAGCCCTGCCAGCCCTCTGCTGAGCGCAGGAGCCACTGGCCCGCTGATATATACGAGTGACCGGCCGCAGCCAGCGGGAAGTACACAGTGACTCAACGCCAGACGCTGCGGCCGGACTACTCTGTTTATTGAACTGATTGGGGAACGCCAAAAATCCAGAGAATGCTTACCGATCACTGTATCTGTTGCGACATGCATGTCACAAGGCAGACACTAAGCTGTAGGCTCATGATGTGTGTATGGAGTTTATGTTAATTTACTTCTCGCTAATTTATGTCAGGATGTTTTCGAAAACACTAATACATGCTACGCTATTTGCTACAGGAAAAATATACGAATCTCAAGTGACAAGTGTTGATTAACATCACTGCTTACTGACGAAAGCGAAAGCCTTTTTACGACAGCTTTCTACACCGAGTTTACTTCGTCAGCAATTTTGCTCACTGATGTTGGCGTCTTTTTTAATCTATCAAAAGATTGTGTTCAGATACCATTGAAAGCATGCTTTAATTTCAACAGGATTCAGCTTTGCGTCATTATGGCTTCAATGAGTCTGACTGCAACAAAATCCCCTGTGTAGCGAGGCATTGCCCCCCCCCCCCCCCCCCCCCCAAGGGCATGCATGTCAGGGTGCCACCCATCCGGCCTCTGACTACAGTGCCCATAAGACTCGATCTATGGCACCTACCACCGATCCGCCCCCCCCCCCCCCTCCTCCCAGCCCCGGCGTCCACTGACCTGTTGATGAACTCTCGCTCCTTGCCGAACGCGTGAATGGTGGCCAGCCCGTTGACCGTAGTGATGACGTGACTGTAGGTGGGCGCACGGGTCACATTCTCCAGCCGCTTCAGGTCGCGCACCCCCACACTGAACACAGCTCTCACGAACAGAAACACGGCAGCGATCACCGCCAGCGGCACCAGGAACCACGGGAACACCATGGCCACAAAGAACAGCGACGTCAGGATCATCAGCGAGTTCTGCAGGAAGGTCTCCGTGGTGAACGGCAGTCGCACGTCGATCTCGTCCAGGTCCCGGGAGAAGAGGTTCAGCAGTCTGCCGACGGGCGTGGTGTCGAACAGCGCCATCGGAGCGCGCAGCACCCGGTGGAACAGACGATCGTGTAGCCGAGACGAGGCTGCGAGGGTGACTCGCATGAAGAAGAAGCCGCGGATGAGGCTGGTGGCCAGGATGGTGACCACCGACAGGCCGTACACCAGCTGGTAGAAGTCGAGACGCGGGTGGTCGGTGATGCGGTCGCTGACCATCGTCTGGTTACCGACCTCGATGGTTGTGTTCTGAGGGAGAGAAAGAGTGGGAGGAGGATGGGTTAGGACAGGTCTGCCGGCAGACGCTCCGGTTACATAAAAGGAAAGCGACCGCTACCTCCCTGGTAATAAGAACGTTACGCCCAGCTATTTTTTATCCAGTGGGAAACTACTCATTACATGATCCCCCGAGAGGGGCACAGACCAAGCTAATTCCTTAGCCCTGCCCTAACTAATTTCAGTAGCAAACGTCTCAATCAGATACTGTTTAGTCCCAAGAAGGCTGGTACTGTACCGTCTCCTCCCACCCCAGGTCTGGTTCCAGGCTGTTTCGAAGTTTAAACATATTCTGAACACGTCTCGACCCACCGCTGATCCCAGCTACTCTTGCCAGCACGGTACACTCCCACCCCACTCAGGGCGGCCCAGGACTCGGCCCAGGCTCCTCTCCGCTCAGTCAACCTGTCTATGCGAATCATCCCGGAGCTCTGTTCTAACCAGCACACTAACACATTATCGCACCCATCCAAAGACGGGTTGGACTCACCCCGGAGCCCTGCTCCAGCCAGTGTGACAGCCACCAGGACGAGAAGGCCGCCGACGCCACGTTGACGATGAACACCACCATGACGAGTGACGCCATCAGGAAGCCGCCGCCGGCCTGAATGTACGCCTTGTACGTCCGTCCAGAGATGGCGCCCTTCTCCAGGGTTTCAGCATTAGTCAGCTGGGCTGTCCAGCACAGAATACCGACGGTCAGTTGCACGGCGGCAAAACACGCGCTCAAAGACACAGCGGCGCTTCTCAGTCAGCAAAGCGCCTGTTTACATCGGCTGGGTTGGACTGTCAGTCAGTGACGGCCTTGGAGAATAACAGGATGAACGGATTAGCAACAGCGGTGGATTGGGGATTACACATACCTGAAATGCATTCACAATGTCGAGGCATCCATCGAGGTAGAACGCTACCTGTCAGGCCGTCACGCTCAGGCACCTCTGTTACTTAGCCGAGATATCTCTACTCCTAGGCACAGCCATAGACCTCTGCATCGGCATACGGAAGAATATAGAGAACTAGGGCCTAACATGAGACAGCCTAACAGGGCCTAACAGGAGACAGCTCCTCGCCTAGCATTCGGTACCTGAAGGGAATAATACTATCTAGCGATTAATGTACATCTGAGTTCACCTTTCTCCTACCTAATACTCCATATCGAGACGAATATGGCTGCCACTCGGCTCTTTGCCTGCTTGCACGATAGCTACGCTAAGCTTGCTACCTACTAACGATAGCTAACCGATTGGGACAGCAGCCCCACACTCCTCGGTCGCAATGGGCACGTACCCCCGGCGCTGGTGGCGTCTCCTTTGACTGTGTGCGCGCCCTCAGCCGAGTGGGACGAGCGGCGCCGGGCCACCTCAGACGAGGCGCGCCGGACCGCCTCCTCAGTCAGACCCAGGCCGCTCCTGTCGGATATAAGGGAGACAGGACGTCATACGTGGGTCACATGGGTCACATTGGTCACACAGGTCACACAGGTCACACGGGCCACGCGTTCGGGTCACACGGTGAAGGGTCATATAGGTCACGCTCAGCACACAGTTCAAACGTGTCACACAGGTCAAGCAGAGCACACATCACGCAGTTCACACAGGTCGCACAGATAAAGCAGGGCACGCTTGTCAGCGGCAGGAGAGACCAGCCAACGTGATGATAGAGGAGATACGAAACCGGCCAGGCAGCCAAAGATGAATTCACAAGATAAAACAATGGTCATAAACGATCACAGGCGTGATATGCAGGGGACACAGGAAAATCGTTCCGCGGCTAGACATACACAACGCAAAATGTCTCAAAATAATGAGGATTCGGAAAATTGAATGGAGTGCATATTTTAATTTGTTATTATGCACATAAAACAGCGACGACCGAAGTTGACATCGTTCGTTCCCCATTGAACATGAAACTCTGAGAGCATGCGTGAAGGTTGGCCCTTGCATAATGTATAAGCCCTCCAGCTGGCATCTATCTATAAACGCACAATCATGTCAGCGAGCCTCCCTCCAGCCAGTCGCGACACAGCACTAAAACTCCGAGTCCTATTACCAGTCTGGGAACCACGCTAGTCACGGAACAAGTATTGAAACGACGAGGCTCGTCACTGGCTAGTGGGTTATGCTGTCTGTTACCGAGGCAAGCCTGACCTTCGATTTAACTGTTGCGATTGTGAAAGGCCCATCTCTGAAAAACAACACCATCCGCACACATAGGTTATGCGGTGATGCACTTGTCAACGGCTTAAGTAACTTCCTATGTCGATGCGTCGGAGTGAAAGAACTATCGGATATGGAAAACGACTGGTACCTGAAATTAGCTGGTGATGGAGCTTCCTGGTTAGCTTAGCAACTCGCGGCAGTAGGTCAAGTGCACTCAGTGAACTAAGGCCATCTGTTGGAGGATAACTAATCTAAAACCAGAACTTCTACAAAGCTACACCGAGCGAAAATGTAGAAGCATGAAGTTGCATAAATGTGATAAATTCAGTTATTCTACAAACGGCTAAGAGGCAACTCATTATCATAAAAGGAGGTTAATGCCGGCAAAAAAAAAAAACGTTTACACTGAGCTGTCTGGACGCCGAGCCCAAATGACTTATAGAAGGAGCAATTGCGTCGCTGGTAGGCTGCCATGGTTACTGGACAACAGCGTCACGGTCAGGGCTCACACCCGACAAACACGTGCTCAGCGTTGGCCAGTGCCGGGTCACAGCGGCACTGTTCTGCCACCTGCCGAGCCTCGAAAACTGACAGCCAATAGACCGACCTCACCGCACCAAAAGGCCCCCGCTGGCATCGGTTCACCGACTGTGCCAACACAGCCTGACTGGTGGATTCACCGACTGTTGACAACGAAGTTCTTTAGCGTTCCGAGGGGTTCATTCAGGACTGTCTACAGACGATTAGTCGGCGCGTCAGAGGGATCACGCCACACTGAGCCAGCGTCTTTATGACTTTCGGTTCCCACCGCCGCCACAGTCAGTTGTTATCGTTCGTCCGAGGAGAGCAACGGACACCGTCGCCTACTCATATCATCACTGAGGAACAGTTTGGCCCGTTTCCGCAGTAGCCGATGCTGCTGTAGGCCGATCTCCGACCATGAAGCGTATGTCCGTCCGTCCGGCCCGGACGGAGGAGGTCACTGCGCCGGGCAGAGACGTCACCCAGCTCCCCGGAGTGGCCGGAGATGTGGAGTCGGGGGACGGAGACCTGCACCTCTCGCGGTCGGCGCGGGTGATGGTCGCGCTACTCCGGGTCACCGGCCACTGGGGCGGCGCCGGCTGCGGCTCCCTCATCTACGCCACCATGCTGTACGCCGTGCTGACCAACGCGCTGTTCTTCCTCGTGTCCAGGAAGGGCAACATCGGCATGAAGGCGCTCGCCCGGGACCAGGGTGATTTCAGCGCCGCGTTCAAGTCGTCGTTCTTTGGCATTCCGGACGTACTGAGCTGGTTATGTCTGAGCTGCACCTTCTTCATTGGAAGACGACGGTACGCAGGCCTGTTCTCAGAGATCAGACAAGCATTGAAGAATGCCCTGAGCTCGACTACCGACCCACCAGCTGAGCCTCTGAAGAGCCTGAACCGACGGCTAGCCATCATACTATCCTGCCTGGTGGTGATGTTTGTTGTGGTGATTTCGATCCACATCCACCTTTTCCTGCGAGCTCCTGCCATGGAGTGTGAGGAGTCCGCAGCAAGCTGCGCCAAGAACGTGATGAAATACCTGTTTTACACAATCTTTGATATCTTTCTGCTGCTCACACCAGTCAAGCTGCTGCTTGCCGCTGAATTCGCCAGGGAGGGTTTCCGAGCAGTGAACGCTGAGCTGAAGACGATGATGGCCTCTGGCGGTGTGGATGTCGCTCTGCTGGTCCGACTGGGGCGGCGGCAGGCGGCGCTGAGCGCGGCCTTGTCGCGGCTGACGGACGGCCTGGCGCCCGAGCTGGTGGTTTCCATGGCGTACGGCGTGGTGCTGCAGGTGTCGACTCTGCTGCTGACCGTCGGCAGCGCGCAGGCCGGCCACCTGGTGCGCGCCGGTCCCGAGATCGTCGCCGGCCTGTACCGGGCGGCAGTCACCGTGGCCGTGCCGTGCGAGGTCGGCCAGGCCGTCCAGGACCAGGTGGGCCGGATCCGCGACTCGCTGCTGGCCCGGCCGCCGGTGGCTGATGTGACCGCCGGTCAGGAGGTGCTACTGCAGCTGGAGGCGACCCGCCGCGACCTGGAGAGCCTGGTTGACCTGCGGCTGTACCGACTGCGTCGCTCCACGGTCCTGGCCGCCGTCTCTGCGGCCGTCACCTATATCATCGTGTTCCTTCAGTTTCAGCAGCCCGAGGCGTCCGGGTAGCCGGCGGTGCAGCAGCGGGAGGGCCCGGCGGTGCAGCAGCTGGAGGACCCGGGGGAGCAGCAGCTGGAGGACCCGGCGGCGCAACAGCGGGAGGACCCGGCGGTGCAGCAGCGGGAGGATCTGACGACCCAGCGGCGCAGCAGTGGGCCTTCTGGGAACCTCGCGGCGCCGCAGGGAGAACCTGACCTCCCAGCGGGGCTGTACACGGGCCGAAGAGCGCCAACTAACTGCAATAGCATACTCGCCTTTAGTGACACCCACAGGATGGCTCTCACATAAGGAACCATTCAGAATCCGTATGCGATCAGCTAGTGTACGAATATCAAGCACACTAGTAGCTCTCTCAGATCGCCTCTGTACCTGCGCTTACTAGATTTGTGATATCTGTGTTTTGTAATTCATACCCACTGCGAGGGAGAGTAGAGAGCAGGGTCGCCACAATGTTTCTCCGCTGCAGAGATGCACTGCACGAGCTACGAAGTACAGAGGCTCTGCCAACAATATAGGCTCTGCCGTTTGTAATCTAAACGCATTTAGTAAATGTGCATATTTTGCTTCAATACATAATACATATGTACATATATGAAAAGTTGACTTTCTACTTTGTCCTCAATAGTGGGGAGCTTCATAATCGTTGTTCGGTCTGGCTCGGGTCTGAAAGTGCGAAAATCTAGTGTGAACCGTCCAATATACGAGAGCAAATCACAAGTCACCAGCCATGCTGAAGTGAGTTCAGATAATGACGGTTACCAATTAATTGTTAATTATTTCACCTCCTAGCTTTACGAATGTCGACTCGCAACTTAACACAAAAATTAATCCACCTTCTACAATTATATGTAGCGCGTCACACTCACAAGTGACAAAAGTGAAGGACTGTAGGTCAATCAGCCAATTTTCTATTATATAGTCGATCACATAACACTACAGATTCATACTCAGTCAGTCATACTCTCAGATTCATACAGATTCATACTCAGTCATACTCAGAAATTTCCGTTAATCTAAGGAAAGACTACGCTCGCTTCGCTCGCTCCGTAACTACAGATTCGTGCCTATATTGAGCTGATCACCGAAATCAGACATCGAAACCAACAGACGTCATATGAAAGCATCGCAATCATGTCGTTCGCTCCGCACATCGCAGCGCAGGCGGAACGGTAGGTATGACAGATGTAACACGCATACATCTCTGCTGTACAGTCAGACAGCTGCTACATGCAAACACCACTACTGCGCAGTCTGACAGGCAATACATGCAGACGTCACCGCCGCTCCCGTCCGCCGAGAGACCGACAGACCTCGCTAGCTGGACGAATGAACCGGCCGCCGCGGTCGGACCTTTTTGCGCGAGCGGCGCCGCTGCTTGAGATGCGTGCCACGCGCTCTACGCGGGCCGTCACCATTTGATGGCGGCACCGAGCCGGCCCGTCATTCCGTCATCGGACGCACGCTGCACGCGCGCACATAGAGAAAACACCGCGGCAAGGACGCCGACGTGCCCGTGACCACATATAAACGGCACGGTGCGCAGAGAATCGGCAGTGCATCCTCCCCGCCGTCAATATGAAGCTGGTAAGGAGCGAACGCCGGATTGAACTGACCGCCGGGATTGTGCTGTGCCGGAGCCGAGACAACCCTCTGAGTGCCGGTGATAGCCAATTGGGTGGTAAACCTCAACATCACAAATTTTCACAGACATGCTTGACTAATGCCAGTATACCCGGCTTATCTGAGTATGATAGAGGAGCGCCCTATCTTAATTTGTACAAAAATCCAAATAGATTCCGCAAATCCAGCGTGGAGCAACAAGCGTCATAAGCCAGCCGAACTATCGAAGCCTAGCGCTGAGCCCCACAGAGCGTTTGGGCTGTTGACATGCTGGAAATGTTCCGAGCCGACCAGTGACCACCGATCCCTGTATATCCACAGTTGGTTCTATTCTGTCTCGCTGGACTGGCGGCGGCACGGCCACAGGCCGACGAGCGGAGCGCTCAGACCGTCAGCATGGACAACGAGCTGCGGGAGGACCAATCCTACGACTTCGCGTGAGTTCCAGCGGAGGCTCGGGTCGGTGGCGGTCCACAGTGCGGGTGGAGGTTGCCAGTGAAGGTCGCTTTCATTTTGTTCAAAGCTCCACAATCAGTCTTGGCTACCAATAGTTTATCCACGTTTGAGTAGGGTATTGTCACGTTAAGTTTCAGACACCTGCAGTTGTTGGAGGTCTTTAGCATATGCCCTGGACAAACCGATTAATTGAGGAAACGCATTGTCGCCAAATGTATTCAGTGATCAATGACAAAAATTCAAACGAGTCCATACCTATACTCGTTCGAGAAAATTCGTGTCTGTGACCAAGTGAGCACACCACCTAAACGTTATCTGATCTCCCACTGACTCTGTCTCTCTCGACAGGTTCGAGACGTCCAACGGCATCATCCGCGAGGAGTCTGGCATCTCCTACCCGGGCGCCGAACCGGAGACGGGCAACTACGTCCAGTCGGGCAGCTTCGAGATCCCCCACCCTGACGGCACCGTCACCTATCTGTCCTTCCTCTCTGACGAGAACGGCTACCAGCCCGAGAGTGACGCCCTCCCCACCTTCAACGGACGGGTGGACATTCAGGACGCGTAAACAGGCTCTAAGCAGGGCCAAGGTGGACCGAAGGGAAAACTGGCTTAGAGAGGCGGCACCATCGCGATCGACAGGGAAGTGAGCAAGCCTGTCTGCTGAGCTATAATACCTCTGTGATGTCAACATTTTCATGTGTCGAGACCACACTGCCGAAAGGAATGCAACGATTGAGCATGATGCGTACCTACTGTACTTATGGAAAAATCGGGATTGTTTTATGCCTTGTGAAGTGATTGACCGGCAAGGAAAGTCAAACGATATGCACCCCAATATATTTGATTTGCAGAAAATCGAATCTGCGCTCATATGTCAAGAATGTGAAAACAGCAATATTTTTTTTAGAGGATAGAAACGAGTAAAAATAGCAGTTTAATAGCAATTAAAAAATAGCATTTTAAAATAGCTATGCATCTTGTTCAACGGATCGATGTTGAGTGAAGAATGGCAAATAAGTTTTTTAACGAAATATAAGGAACACCAGTAAAGACGTGGCCATTTCGATAGAAATATTCAGCTGATAGGTGAATACAAACCAAACAGACACATATCATAAGTGGGTGGCCTAGTAAGCGTTTAACATACTCTGGATCAAATCCATCACCAGCCCATATATCGAGCGACCAAGGCGCACAAGTTGATCACATCCCTGTGCCAAGGACGCTGAGAGCGACTCAGGGCGGGGGGCTCGATCCGGACCAGCGCTCGACATCAGCACGATTCGAGATCACCCCGCAGTGGACCAAGGGGCGATATGGTAACGACACGTCAAGGTATCGGATAGAAATCATCTAAGATGGGCAGCCCACTTACTGTGGCTCACTGATGACAAAACGCCGATCAGCCTTGTGACATGTGAGATCTTTTGGCAGCGAGGCAGCTCAGTACAGGGACGAGTGCAAGCGGCTGATGCTAGTGTATGCCCTACAAAGGCTGCCTGATCTACTGTGGCACGATTCAAATAGTTCAGGTTTTCTTGCTACACATCTCCATTGGTCCCTTCCTAAAGCATTTTGTCGAACCTGTTCATTGTTGTTCATGATCCCAGGTGCCCCAGAAGACTCCATAGTCCATAGCACAACAAACCATTCCGCAGATACCTACAGTGATCACGACCAAAACACAGGTTGAAAACTTCTTGCTCAATTACATCAGGTAGCCAACTCAAGTAGAACAGAACGAATGAAGAACCATTCCAGGAATCAAGGAATGACAGAATCGTATGGTGAAATACAACACGTAGCTAGAAAATGGTGTTCATTTACTAACTCCGGGAATAAGCAATGCTGCCGATGGTGCCATTACCAAGTCCCAGTCTAATTATGTTGCTGGCGCTGCATAGAAGATCACCTTCATTAGTTAGCTAATGAAAATCAGTGAAAGGAGATGGGTCCAGAAGGCAGGCTGCGCCCAGTGTGACGAAAGACAGCAGACAGGCAGACAACGCCTAGACAGAACACAAACGGGCAGGCTCGACAACTCGGACAAACAGACAAACAGCGGATACGGACAGACAGTCAGACAGCCAGACAAAAACAGCAGATAAAGACAGGAACACAGAGACAAACTGGTACAAACACTTGTCAAAAAGAACACCTCCACGAACCTAATGGGATCTCTAGGTTATTTGGCGATCGGTATGGGGTGTGATCACTGATCACACCCCATACATAAAGGCGCATGGTCACAGTGTCATCGTTTCACAATGCTGCTTCAGTCAATCTCCATTCCAGTCCCTGGCACGCACATTACAACACTGCACCATTGAGCAGCTGAGCGCTCAAACAGGCCGATGACTGCCTGTCGGCACGATACGAGAGCTTGGATTCTGACACCATCAGGTGCATTCGTCATGCACGCAGCTCGGTAAAGGGAGCTAGCCCTCATAGCCGTCCTTCGACCCTGGCCTTGGGTCAGAGGTGCCTCTCCACCCCTGCACTCAACATGCTTTGATGATGTATCAGTCACAGTGAACTCAGTCACACCCTTCCTCGTCACCCGCGCGGTGCGCACTTTAGGCAAATGTACCCTCAGCTATCCGGGAGAGCGTGCACCCCTGTAAGAGGCACCCCCAACCGGAGGGCGGCGGGCGGAGGGTAACCAGCAGCAGGCGGAGGGCTGCGGTCGGCGGTGAGCTTTGGGCGGCGGACAGCGGGCGGCGGGCTGCTGGCAGAGCGAGGACCGGTGCCGTCACCGATCGCCTATCAGACACGCCGAGGGCGGGCGGCCGGGGGTGGCGTCACCGGCGGCCGGCCCGAGAGGGGCGCCCCGCTCAGGCGGCTGTCGGAGCACTAAATAACTCCGCCGTCGGCCGGACCGGCGACTGCCACGGCAGGCCCCGAGGACGGCCAACATGCATACAGCGGCGATACGCCCTACAGATGCCATCAGGAGGGTCGGTATATAACACGGCTACGGATGGCAGCGGCGGCAGACAGACCACGGTGCAGCGGACCGCGCAGATAGCCAGTCACACAGCAGCCATGAAGCTCGTGAGTCTTGGATCGACTTATCCACGGCCTGTCCCCCCCCCCCCCCCAACTAGACATGTTTGCTCGCTAGTTGCGCCACCCCACTGTATTAATTGAGAGTTTAACAAAGTGTCATGAGTATTTCCACCCTAGCACGCCGCCCGGCTAGACGTAACACGGTGTCAGTGACAGTGTGTGACGGGTAGAGAGACAGTTAATGTGACGGTGACGATTCTCTCGGTCCCCAGCTGATTGTTCTCTGTCTTCTGGCGGTCGCCCTTGCCAGGCCAGAAAGGAATGCCCAGGTCGTCTCCAACTTCAACGAGCTTAGAGAAGACAACTCATACGATTTCCAGTGAGTAAATTACCAGCCAAAACAGTCATACATTGTCCGCTAGAAGAACGGTCGTTAAAAAGTTTGTGGGTCAAGCTAGAATTACCCAGACTCGGCCCATTGTCTTACCCTAACAGGTAAGAAGAGGAGAGAAATGCATGTGCCTCATGTGGGAATGCCACATTTTAGATCAACAGCATATGACATGCATGAAAAGCTAAATTGGTAGGCTCTCGCTGATAGAATACACAGAAATGTGTTCCAGACAGTCTTATTGTTCCACTGCAACCCTCTTCAGCCACTCCCTCCTGGTGACTCTACCCATAACTCTCCCAGGTTCGAGACGTCCAACAACATCCTCCGCGAGGAGTCGGGTCTCTCCTACCCGGGAAACGAGCCGGAGACGGGCCGGTATGTGCAGACGGGCAGCTACGAGTTCGTCCATCCCGACGGCACCGTCACCAGCATCCAGTTCATCGCCGACGAGAACGGATTCCGGCCGCTGGGAGCCGTGATCCCCCAGATCACCGAGCAGGTCAACATTCAGGACGCCTAGTGGGACCCACCGGATGTCAGACAGGCCCTGGCAGACTCCATGGGCCGCCGATCGGGATAGGATGGCATGGAAGTTAAATTCGTACGGCGCACGCTCCGGCAGGGAAAGGTGTCAAGTCAAGGTGGACGGAGACACTGGTGAGATGCCGGTTCTGCCGATGGGTTCCCAAGCCTACTAGACGGATGTCGAATCTACCGAAAAGCTGCAAGTTGTACCGAGGTATCTGTGAAGTCTGCCAGCAGATCTGTGCCATCGCAGATGTCGATACAGTTAACAAAGGCCGCCTGGACATTCGGCACGCGCCAGAGCTAAGCTCCTCCGACTTCCACTGCTGACTCGATCGACATGTGCCCAGGTGCTCAAATATTTCATTTTCATATGTGTCCATGATCAGTGATCACGCGCAGAAGCATATTTAGGGATTAGGTATATGTCAAAAGGGCTTTGGGGGAAACGCATTTATTAAATGTAAAAAAGTGATCACATTATCCAACATGTAAATGAATAAGAAGTCATCTAATGTGATATGTTTCTGGTCAACATATTGACGTAAATATATTTCAACAAATGCTTTCATGCGACTTTGATCTGACATTTACCACAGTCAGCGACCACAGCTAGATAAAGTACTACCTCGGACAGTAGTTTTACAACACGCAATGCGGGTTAGTCGCGTTAAGCGTGGTGGATCGAAGTAAGGTTTTATGACGCAGCTAGCTGCACCTAGTAGTCGTTAACCGCTGGCCCCGTATCAATACCCGTCTCTGAGCGCCGACCCCTCGCCCCCTGGCCACTGACCGTGACTGGGCGACCTCCAGCAGGACTTCTGTGTCCGTCTGACCGTCCTGCGCCTCGTCCTGCTCCTCCTCCTCCACGTAGGTGCTGATCAGAGCGGCGTACTCGGCGGCGTCCGACATCAGCTTGGCGTGGGTGCCGCTCTCCACCACCCGGCCCTCCTTCAGCAGACACACCGTGTCACACTGGCTCAGGTACTGAAACAGACCGTATTCAGGGACTGAAACACGCTGTATTCAGGGATTGAAACACGCCGTATTCAGAGACTGAAACACAGGGCATTCAGGGACTTAAACATGTGGTACACAGAAACAATATCGTGACGCAAACAGGAACTGAAATAAGCGGTGTATACTGATGTGCTGAAATCACAGGTAGTGCAATACGCGGCATTTAGGAGCTAAAACACGCAGCTACAGAACGCACACAAGCACACCATTCACATTTTAGAAAAATACGTCCATAGATAACATGAATCCATAGATAACATAGATAACATAGATAACATGATTCATGTTATCTATGATACGTCGCAAAAAACTCAAAGATTTATCGAGATATTACACATCCGTATCCACACATATCACATTGCAAAATAACCCGCAATGGTGCTAGAATGTAAAACTGCACCGAACTGGCTCAAGTAAATGAACTGGCCCTGTCTATCCCGAGTCCCACCTGCAACTGATGAGTGACGAAGAGCACCGTCTTGTCTTTGAGCGCCGTCTTGATGTACTCTTGGAAGATGTGCTTTCCTACGTGCGAGTCGACGGCAGCCAGCGGGTCATCCAGCAGGTAGATCTCTCTGAAACGCAGACCATGACGTACAGCCCTCAGCAGACTGCGTGGTAGGTATTCTTTTTTTCGACAAAACCGGTAATAACTCAAAGACTATGTTATCAGTCGATCGGAACTCATTGCACATAGATGCGCCATGCTCCACTCCTTCGATTTGGTTTATCATTAAATAAAGTATATACCTTGTGTGGCAACAAAATGCAAAAGTTTGTTTTGGGGGCAAATATAAACTTTTGGGTTTTGTTGCCAAACTGGATGGAAAATAAATACGATGATAATCTCAATCTAAGGTGCGGAGTCTCATGCGTCTTGCTGTTGCGATTTCCGAGTGACCGATAGCATAGTATCCGCGTTATTCTCGGTGTTGTCGAAAAAAGAATACCTACCACGCAGTTTGCAGAGGGCTGTACGTCAGCTTAACAGCGGCGAATGCAGGGAGGGCTTCTCAGCAAGGAACGGCTAAAAACATAGCCCCAAAATAAAAACAAACATGGCATAGCTCATTATATCTTGAGATGCATCATTACCTTTTTAGAATTAACAACCCAAGTCGTTGATGTTCATTTCATGCCTATGCAATGCATGCATACCTTTCGCATTATAATGAATGGACATCCATATTCGGCAGTTCTCGCTACAATCTGCATGTGCAATTCATCCTAACGTCAAGATAAGTCGTGATGGCACGGCCCCACAACATCGTAAGGACTCGGGAAAACTGATGTTAGGCTGTCACTTCCCCAATAGAGATCAGGGACTGATCGATAAATGAACCAGTATAACGCCTTTTGGGGCGACTAACGGAGCGAGCGAGAGGGTGAGCCTTGCACGTGCGAAATTTCGACGAGGTACCTCCAGCTGACTTGTGCACGGCACCCTACTAACCGGTCTCTAGCGATGTGCCAAATTTGAGCACAATCGGCCCAGCCGTTCTCGAGATCTGGAAGTGGCACCCTGCACGTGCGCACGTGCAAAATGGGTCCCAACTGAGTTTTGCACGGCACCCTACTAACCGGTCCCTAACCATGTGCCAAATTTGAGCGCCATCGGTCCAGCCGTTCTCGAGATCTGGAATCGACCCCTGCACGTGCGCACGTGCAGCAGCACCCCAATTCTGGCACATGGATATGCATTGCCTAGTAGGTGCCTACCTACATGCCAACTTTCAGCGCAATCGGCCAAGTAGTTACTGAGAAATTGCAACAATTACAAAAGTGACACCTCTTCGTTTTGCACGTGGCACGTGCATAAGGGGTCACCCACATGCATCGGCAATAGTCCAATACTTGGTAGAAGGAATGAAGCTACCCTACAAAAATTACCGCGTGTAAATCGGTCAAGTGGTTGCTGAGATATAAGCCTCGCAAAAGCGTGACCACGGCCGGCCGGCCGGCCGGCCGGCCGCTCATACTCAGAAATTTCCGTTAATCTAAGGAAAGACTACGCTCGCTTCGCTCGCTCCGTAATAAGCGACAGAGCCACGGCGTCAGCTGCCTAAAATTGACCCTTAAATCGATAAATAAAAAGGGTAAGAAGAACCTTTAATATGGTGATATTTGTGGTGATTATTAGTTCATCGATTTAGAAACTGACGGTGGCCTGCTTCGTTAGTTGTGTAATCACTTCCCATCCACTTCACTGCGCTGTTATATTGCTATAACTGTTGCCGAATAATTGCCTCATTATGAAATCGATCACAATCAAAAGAGCAGCCTAGCTCGGCTGTCTGCTCGACCACAGGTGCACTCGTGCCTCCCGCCGACTCCACCGACCACGTGCCGGGCCCGGCGGCGTATCGGAGCCGCCAGAGACGGACGGGCGCCACTCCGCCCCGCTCACACAGACAGCTCATCTGCAAACCGTGCATAGATCCCGACCGAGAGTCGAGTGCGGCACGCCCGGCGTACGACCCGAGTCGAGGGGTTCGAAGGAGATCGGCGCGTGCTGGCAAGGTCGGCTGGATAGTGAACGGACAGGAGACGGATGGAGGTGTCTTCTCGATCTCAGGTAGGAGAGGCCCGTACCCAATGACCGGCACAGGCCGGGGTAGGTATAGGGATGGGGTAGTGCACGAGGCAGAGATGCCGTATCGACTCGACGAGTGGTTGCTGAGAAACATATCGCAGCAAATATGTTTGCAAAGAGCTCATAATGCGTGAACACTCGCAACATCACAAATGAAAGAAAATTATTACGGAGCGAGCGAAGCGAGCGTAGTCTTTCCTTAGATTAACGGAAATTTCTGAGTATGAGCGGCCGGCCGGCCGGCCGGCCGTGCGGACGCTTTTGCGAGGCTTATATCTCAGCAACCACTTGACCGATTTACACGCGGTAAATTTTGTAGGGTAGCTTCAATCCTTCTACCAAGTATTGGACTATTCCCGATGCATGTGGGTGACCCCTTTTGCACGTGCCACGTGCAAAACGAAGAGGTGTCAGTTTTGTAATTGTTGCAATATCTCGGTAACTACTTGGCCGATTGCGCTGAAAGTTGGCATGTAGGTAGGCACCCACTAGGCACTGCATATCCATGTGCCAGAGTTGGGGTGCTGCTGCACGTGCGCACGTGCAGGGGTCGTTTCCAGATCTCGAGAACGGCTGGACCGATGGCGCTCGAATTTGGTACACGGTTAGGGACCAGTCAGTAGGGTGCCGTGCACAAGTCAGTTGGGACCCATTTTGCACGTGCGCACGTGCAGAGTGCCGCTTCCAGATCTCGAGAACGACTGGGCCGATTGTGCTCAAATTTGGCACATCGGTAGAGACCGGTTAGTAAGGTGCCGTGCACAAGTCAGTTGGAGGTAACCCTCGAAATTTCGCACGTGCAAGGCCCTCCCTCTCGCTCGCTCCGTTAGTCGCCCCAAAAGGCGTTATACTGGTCATATAAACGGCAGAAATTATTTCTTTAAAAAAAAATTGAGCACCGATAGTCCAATTCCTAATCAGTCGAAAGCCAGACTGAGCTAGTGCATCTGCCAGCTCATTATAAGTACTGATAGTCCCATAGCAATATAGATAATTACAATCCAAAACCACGAGCCGATCATCCTTTCCCCTTTCAGCGGCCGACCTCACCTATTTCGACGCCTGTCGGCACCATATACATCTGATCTCTTCCCGAATCCCACTGACCTATCTGCGCAGAGTGCGCGCGCCAGAGCCACGCCACGCCCCAATATTTACCAGAACCCACTGGCACTGACCTGTCGGCGAACAGAGCGCCCACCCTCTCATTCCCGAGCCCCACTGACCTGTCAGCGTACAGGGCGCCCACCCTCTCATCCCCGAGCCCCACTGACCTGTCGGCGTACAGGGCGCCCACCCTCTCATCCCCGAGCCCACTGACCTGTCGGCGTACAGAGCGCGGGCCAGGGCCACCCGCTGCTTCTGTCCGCCACTGAGGTTGATGCCCCGCTCGCCAATCTCCGTCTCGTCGCCTCCCGGTAGCGTGGTGACGTCCTTGTGCAGGGAACACGCCCGTAGCGCCGTGAAGTACCTGCGGTGGCGCCAGGATAGAGTTGATTAGTCGTGGAGCTAAGGGTGCGCGGGGTAAGCATTAACAGGATACAGTGTCGGTCCGAATAGCTCAGGCCATTGCACAGGGCCCTGAGCGGATGGGTAGCATGTGACGAAGTAGCTCCCTGTCAACCGGCAGGTGAATTTTATACTGTGAAACGCACTACATAGGCAAGTTGGGAATCGCATTGCTCGTGACGGACGGACACATCACTAAGAGCATAAAAAGTAAGCGCTCTCCAAATTTATTGAAAACATATAAAGCACGGTTATATATTCTTGTAAAGGCGCCCGTCCGCACTGTCGTCACCTTTTGGCGTCGAAGCTGTGTCCAAAGCGGATGTTCTCCTTGAGGGTGGCGTTGAGGATCCACGGCTGCTGGCCGACATAGGCGCACGAGCCGTCCAGAGCCACCTGGCGGACGGGCGGGGAAACACACGGCGATTACAGCACCGCCACTGTTGGAGGGAGATGGCCGACACGCAGGCGACTGCGCGGAACAACGGGGATGGCAGAGCAAACTGCTTGATGATGTTTGTGAAAACGTAAAAAAACACTCCCTGTTGATTAATCTGATTACATGGTCGACAGTCAATGTCTGTTGAGCTTGAACGTACCCCTCCAATCTCCATCCAGTTAACCTGATCCTCTAGCCTGCATGATTATTGATTACAGCATGAACAAGTTGACATACCAGGCCCTGACTGAGCTCCTTTAGCCGACCTGACCTAGCCGCTCTGACACTCACAGATGACCTGCCGCTCCCCAGCTCACCTGACCCACCGATGACCTAGCCTGACCCCTCACTGATATGACCTGGCCCCCTCACACTAACCTGTCCCGAAAGGAGTCGCATCAGACCCAGTACTGCCGAGAGCAGGGACGACTACTGACCAGACCTGGTCCCATTTTACTAACCTGTCCGGACCGGAGTCGCATCAGACCCAGTACTGCCGAGAGCAGGGACGACTTTCCGGCTCCGACCGGGCCGCAGATACCGACCAGAGTGCCCTGTCGGTACGAGGTGGTCTCAGCGTGGTATGACCAGCTGGAGCGGGACACTGCAAGGAAACGCTATAAGTGGCCGAGCAACACCATTAGATACCATCGGGGGGGGGGGGGGGTCACCAATGGACCGCAAACAGGGAGCATCAGCGGGCACAGACAGGGGCACGCGCAGGGCAACCGGGGTTATGGGTGGCATCAGAGGACACGCCAGAGCACCAGGATGGCCAGGGCAGGCCGGTACCACCACAATTCTACCTTGGGTACCACCGGATCGATGTCTATGAAGGCGTCACGGGAAGGGATGGCCAGGGGAAAGGGTGGCCGCAGCACCTACCTTGGGCACCACCAGGTCAATGTCTATGAGGGCGTCACGGGGGGATGGCTAGGGGCCGCAGCACCTACCTTGGGCACCACCAGGTCGATGTCTATGAGGGCGTCACGGGAGGGGATGGCCAGGGCCGGCCGCAGCGCCTCCGTCTCCGCTCCCCGGCCGTCGCCGTTGGCGTCCCTGGTGAGATAGGACACCACATAAGAATAAGGAACACTATGGAGTTATTTCAAACACAATATTTTAATTAGTCTCCAGCATAAATAAATATAGATAAAATGACTTATAACCAATGATGACATTGGTCCAACAGTCACTAAATCCACGTTCATTAGCCAATTCATTTGCTGGTATGTCAAGTACTGACAGGATGGGTCCACACTTAGGCTGTTTGAGTTATTTGTGGGCGAGGTCTACGCAATACGCAGTGTTCACGCCTATTGTCTTCATAATATTCTGTCTAGGCAATGTGCCGCCCCATTGTGGTCGCCGCACATGGTCTGTATCCGCGTCACTCCCGTAGCCTGTCTGTCGCGGTCTCACTTGTTCTTTGCCGCCGCGCCGGCCGAGTCGTTGTCGCCGCCGACGGCGTCCCAGGCGAGTGTGGCGCTCTGCAGAACCACCGCCTGGTTCACGTCACTGGGCACCTCCACGTACGGCTGCTGCTCCTCCATGAGCAGGATCGACTGCCGCGCCGGGTGGGACGGAGCACGGGTTAGACGGGGTACACGGGCCGGGCATCGGGGCAACGCCGCTCACACCGGTTAAATAGTCTGAGGCCTCCCGCCCCGCCCTCCGCAAGAGAGCGGGGGATCTTACTGAAGCCGTGATACGCGTGACGGCAAACACGAAACGAGGGCACTTACGTAGAAAACTAGCTTAAGCAAAGATGAGTTATGTTTACGTTTGAGCTGAAAAATTAATCAACCACACAAAATGATGATTTACCAAAAACATCATAACGATACAAAAGTATCTGAGAAACCAAACTGAACATTCGAACTTCAGACACTGAGAGAAACATTCAGCAAAGCACAGCAAATGCCCAAGCATACGTTGGTAAGCATGCAGTCAGCTGAACGACAAGCGAGCACAAAGATAATAAAGTTTGAACCCCAGAACGTGCGCAGCCAAAGTAAGCTGGGATGTCATGCACAGTGAAACTGTTAAACTAGCAGGCAAGCAAAGCATGCATTCTACATCGGCAGCGATTTTCAAAAGCAAATTGACTATCATTTCGCTTGTTCTATCAAATGCGTGTAGTCTGTCTGATTGCTTGATGGTTCGCATTTATCAATAGCGATACTTGTATCATAATATTGTAAACTTTTAACGAGTCCGAACAGCAACTTTGTTAAAACAGTGGGCTCAGTGAAACTATGACCCTTGAAAATAATAAAGCCGACGCCACGGGGAAGTAAAAAGAGCATTGTGCTAACCCATCGGTGGTTTGAAAAACACCTTGACCAGAAATATGGTGCAAACATTGCCTGCAGTTGCTCGACAGCAGGCTCAACTGACCAGAACACCGACAGTATGGAGTCGAACAGTTACGGAGGTGCAATATAGTCAGTAGTCATAGGTCAACTTTCCTTCTTCAACGACAGATCAAGAATGAACCAATGATGCTGAGGATGCTAATGATGATGAATTGGTTTTAGGGGCACCCGGACGGCGCTGGTTATTACGAGCGAGCGAGCGCAGCGAGCGAAGTGAGTCTTTTCTATAACGGAAAAATCTCAGTATGAGCGGCCCGGTCCGGCCCAGCCCGACCTGTAACGCTTTTGAGAGGCTTATATCTCAGCAACCGCTGGACCGATTGGCCTGCGGTCTTTTTTTGCTGGGTAGCCCCATCCCTTCTACCCCGTAATTGACTACTTTTGATACATCTCAGTGACCGTCGTGGCACGTGCCACGTGAAAAGTCAAGGATGTTCAAGCTGTTTTGCAAAAGTAGTGATTTTGAGAGGCTCATATCTCAGCAGCCGCTTGGGCGATTGACTTGCGGTAATTTTTGTAGGGTAGCCGCATCCCTTCTACCCAAAATAGGATACTCTCGATGCATGTGGGTCACCCCCAGTGCACGTGCAAAATACAACAATAAGAGGTGCCAAATTTGTTCCCATTTCAGTAACTCGGTAATTACTGGGGCGATTTCGCTGAAACTTGGCATACAGGTAGGCACCCACCAGGCAATGCATTTCCATGTGTTGCGGTTAGGGTGCTACTGCACGTGCGCACGTGCAGGGGGCGTTTCCAGATCTCGAGAACGGCTGGGCCGATTGCGCTCAAATTTGGTACACGGTTGGGGACCAGTTAGTAGGGTGCCGTGCAAAAGTCATTTTGGACCCCGTTTGCACGTGCACACGTGCAGAATGCCGCTTCCAGATCTCAGGAACGGCTGGGCCGATTGCGTTCAAATTTGGCACACCGCTAGCGATCGGTTAGAAGGGTGCTTTGCGCAAGCCCGTTGGAAGCACCCTCTCGCCCTTCCGCACGTGCAGGGCTCACTATCTCGCTCGCTCGTTCTTCGCCCAAAAGGCGTTTTACTGGTTGGTATGTATGTACCTAATGGTTACGCATGTAAAGCCGCGCTGGAGTAGAATAAAACCCTCGCTCCACACCAGTCCACCCGTACCGAGCCACGCGTTACATTAAAAATTATACACGGCACCCGTAACCGAGGACAAAACAAAGGACGGGGTCCAGGAGCACCGAAGTCCGCCACCGAATCACACGGCCATGCGTGCCGAATCGAGCTACCGCACACATTTCTGAGCCGCGTGGGGTGCCGACTGGCCCAAACACCAAACACTGAACTAAGACGCCCACGAGGGGCAGCGGTGGCGGGCGCCGCCCTGAGCGGCAGAGGGGGTCGGATCTAACCTGGACCCGGAGCAGGCCCTGTACGGCCTCGACACACTCCTTTAGGTAGGCCGACCAGCGCACAGTGTTGTTCATGAGACCCGATATGGCCATCACTGAGAACACCTGCCGAAGGAGTCTCGAGTCACGCTAAAAGTATTTGCCTTGGCTGGATTCGATCAAAGGTTCTCTACAGTGGCCTTTTAGAAAAGTGGGCGGGATAACGTCCGATTTTACCATAAGCGGCAGTCAATGACGCCGAAACCCAAAGTAGTAGCGGTGGAAAAGTAGCAGGAGGAAAGAGGAAAGAAGAAACAAAAGAAAGAATGAGGAGAGAGCGAGATAAAGAGAGAGAGAGAGAGAGAGAGAGGGAGAGAGGGAGGGAGAGAGAGAGAGAGAGAGAGAGAGAGAGAGAGAGAGAGAGAGAGAGAGAGAGAGAGAGAGAGAGAGAGAGAGACCAAGAGAACACACACATTCACACAGATAGGCACGCAAACTGACAGACAAATAATGATACATACAGACATGACAGTGACACACAGTCACACACGCCTACAACCACACAAATAGAAGATGAAAGAAAGGAAAAAGAAAAAAGAGAACGAGAGAAAGAGAAAATAGGAAAAAGGAAATAGAAAAAGAGAAAGAAAGAAAAAGAAAAAAAGTGAAAAAGAGAAAAAGAGAAAAAAGATAATAAGAGAAAAGGAGGAAAAGAGAAAAAGAGCAAAAGATAAAAAGGGAAAAAAAGAAAAAAAGAAAGAAAGTAAGAGAGAAAGAAAGAAAGAAAGAAAGAAAGAAAAAAAGAAAGAAAGAAAGAAAGAAAGAAAGAAAGAAAGAAAGAGAGAGAGAGAGAGAGAGAGAGAGAGAGAGAGAGAGAGAGAGGAGAGAGAGGGAGAGAGAAGAGAGCGCCGGCTGGTTTCACGTCTTCGTTTGCAGTCAGTTTTCTGGACTCGAGTGAGCTGCCAGGCCGGTCACCGCAGCCGTACCCTCGCTTCACGCAGATAGAGCGCACGAACGCCTCATGTAGGCCGGCAGAGGACTGGGCGAAACAGGGGCGCGGGACCGTCCTCTAAGAATCGGCTGACAATCCACATAACTTCCTCGAAACACCGTAGAGATAGAGCTATAGTCCATACACCGTCTTGCCGTGTTCCGTTCTCAACAATCAGTCCGCTTCAGTCCGCTTATAGTCTGTCAAAACGATATTTTTTTTTCCTAATCGTTTCCCTGGATCAATCACACCCTCGTATCATTTATTCAGAAGCAAGCGATGATAAAGCGTGACACAGCGTCCCCGTGCGAGGCCACATATAAAAGAGATCCGGGGTTATTTACATTGCTATCACATGGTTATCCCGTGGAAAGCCCAGAATACCACATGGAGGAAATCTCGGTGTCTTCGTTTCGGAAGGCAGCACTGAGTTTGTTTTGCGGGGTGAGTCAGAACTGCTGAGGGAAAAGGCAAAGATCGGTAGCAAGTATCGGGTTGGGGTCAGGTAGGGGAAGGAAAAGGATAAATTGGTCAATTAAGAGTGATGGGAGCTGGTTAGTGGCGGAAAAGAACGGGAATGGACAGGTTTGGGACGAAGGGGACGGGGAATAACAGAGTTGGAACAAGGGCCAGAAGGCTGCTGAATTGGGACGGAGAGAATGAGAAAAAGAATACAGAAAGAACGAAGATGAACGAAAAAGGACAGCGTTGGAACGACGAGGGATAAGAGGCTTGGCTTGGAACAGGAAGGGTTAGGATAGATGGAATTAATTCGGTAGGACGATTAAAGACAGACAAAAACAGGTGAGAAAAAGCCCGACTGTACAATATCACTTAGCGCGAAACTAACCGACTTCAGAGCAAACTGGACGAGCTGTTGGCTCTCGCGACAGCGCGGAGTGCCTCAGTAAGCGTCACGAAAACCAGCTGAACGGACGGGGTGCGTAGCGGCAGGGAATTCGGCTCGACTCTTCACATGCCTGAAGACGATCAACGGACGCCTCCATCTCGTAATAGACCCGAACAGCCAAAGATATAGTGGAGAGCATGGGCTTGGTAACGGCCAGGTTCAGCAGAACTGGAAACGCCTGCGGCCATAGGGCCCGGGTCAGCGAGTCAGACGCAGGCACTGATACAGTGTACCTTCATACGGGAGAGGACGACCAGTCCCTCAGCTAGCACCGGCGCGCCATACGCTATACAGTGCTGGAAGCTACCAAATGGGGCGTTCCACGACAAATCGACAAATAAAAAATTAAATTTGCACCCTCATATTCTATTCTTCGTTGAAAACTGGTGTAAGGGGTTGTGATGGGCGGGGAAGCCAGCTGTGGCAAGGATTTTTTTCTTCAAACAACGGTTTCCGAGATATAGCCTCGGGCAATTCCTGGAGTTCGCGCTGCAGCCCTATGTATGGCGGCCTATAACTCAGAAACTATTGGTTTTTTACGATAAAACTTTATATGGTTCAACTCACAATCAACCAACAAACATTTTGGCTATCTCGGATTTTCAATTTTTGAAAATTTTGATCACGTGACCTTTTGTCCTATTTTTCGAAGAGTGACCTTGATATTTTCCCCACTGAAAGTTGCAATTTTTTCTGATGACGATTAAAGCCTTATCGATTGTCATTCATATGCGATAATAAAAAAGTGGTTATCGCCCTGCGTTGACCTCAGGTCAGGTCATTTTTATGACCTGTCCATTATTACGAGCGGGAGCGACAGCGAGATCTCGAGAATAAAGCAAGATAGCGACAAGCGGTAAACGGTAAAGGGTACACACGGATAAGGTCTATAATTTTTACTGAGGTCATTTTCAGGTCAGGTCAAAGATGACGTCACAGGAGCTAAAAGGAAGTCAAAATAGCGGCACTATACATATATATGAAGTTTTTCTCGAATAACCTTCAAGGTATCCCAGCTAGGAACAAACTAATAGCACCATCGTGATCCTCTCGTCGATCCGCATCGAAACATATGTATGTTGACCTCGAAAGGTCGAAAGGTCAAAAGTTGACCTTAGGTCACGTGATCTAAGGTCATCAGACAAAATTGCAACTTTCAGTGGGGAAAATATCAAGGTCACTCTTCGAAAAATAGGACAAAAGGTCACGTGATAAAAATTTTCAAAAATTGAAAATCCGAGATGGCCAAAATGTTTGTTGGTGGATTGTGAGTTGAACCATATGAAGTTTTATCCTAAAAAAACTAATAGTTTCTGAGTTATAGGCCGCCAAACATAGGGCAGCAGCGCGAACTCCAAGAATTGCCCGAGGCTATATCTCGGAAACCGTTGTTCGAAGAAAAAAATCCTTGCCACAGCTGGCTTCCCCGCCCATCACAACCCATTAGACCAATTTTAAGCAAAAAATAAAATATGAGGGTGCAGGGCACTTGTCGATTTGTCGTGGAACGCCCCAAATGACAATTGTCAGTGGGTCAGACTGCCACACATGGGGAACAGTCGCTATCGTCCTTCGGTTGAAGTGTGCTGCTATGGACGCTTTACGTGCATTCTGTTTTCCGCGCGCTGGTGAGCTTACGCCCGTGTATGCGTAAGATCATATGCCCTCCAGTTTCCACCTTGGTATTTGTGTTACAGCTCACACCATCACATACCGACAAAGGTCTGGACGGTACTAGTGTCACCACCATCTTCCTCACTCTCTGGACATGTGCGTCGACTCAATCTAACTAGCTTTACGCAGCAGCCTACGCGATACAAGAAACCTGACCTGGCCCTGCGCTTAGTTTACGGTCCCTAACGCACTCGAGGAGATGCCTATGATTCACGGCATAGTTAATAACCTTCAGGGAACCCTACTGGATCCAATTTCAGTTAGTTGAAGACACTTTCACTGCAAACATACAAATCATGCACGCCAGAGGTTGAAGACTGATACCAGTTATACCTTCTGGTCATGCCACCCAAACAAAGAGAATCAGATCAGAGGCCAATCAGATCAGGGCCCAATAGCCAGGGACAGCGGCAGAGATGCGGCCACCTTCAAACGGTCGCGGATAATGTTGTCAGGGGTTAGCTTTGATTCAAGAGTTTCCAATTCTCAAACAACTAAACAAAACAGCTAGCATAATGGTGCTCGCGTGCCTCGCTGCTAGCTATCGAACCTCTGGCCCGGCTGAGCCACTCCAAAATACAGTGAGCCACGCATCAAATACCGAGCGCTACAGAAAAGGGTCGGGAAGGTTGGGAAGAGGACGATATATCGCCGCGGCCAACCTGCGCCCGGTCGAAGGCCACTGCCACCTCCAAGAATATCCGCGTGGCCTCACGCAGAATACCAAGCGTGGAGCGAAACAACTTGTCCATGAAGGCAATTACGGAGAAGGCCTGCAAACATGGGGTCATGAGGATAGGGATAATGGTGCACAAAATAACAACACAGTACAAATAGAGACGCCGAATAGTCTGACAAACACGGGGTTATAAGGACAGGAGCGGGGCTGGTGGTGAAATACTACAGATTAGCACAGACACCGCACAATCGCCAGGTCGCGGGGTTACTAGGACTGGACTGCGGGGCTGATGGTGCACAAAATACCAGCACAGCACATATATACAGACACCGTGGGTAGAGTCGCACAAACACAGGATTATGCGGATAGGAGTAGGACTTGTTTGTAGTTATTTACAAAGCTGGTTATCTAAATAATAAAACACAGTGGAAGTAGCTACTACCATCATATTATATACCTAGTTCATGTTATCTGTATGTATATAGAATAATGTTTAGAACAATTTAGAACAATGCACCACTTCTATACCGTTCGATAAGCGGTTCAGTCCAGCAGTAGTTTTACAGAAGTTGGCGTCTCTTCATTCTGAAGACGATGCCAATGTCGAAATAAAGGCTAAAATACAACCCTCTTCGGTTTTCTGCTCGTTCTGTTTTTATTTCTACAATAATCAACAGAGACTTGTTTGTTTGTTTGTTGGGGGTTAGGGGCGCGCCGCAACAGAGACTTGAAAAATAATTAAATAAGCAGTTAGTAAGAAGGAAGGGAGCGAAAAGGAATGCTGTGCGATGCCTACAGTCCAGAGCGCGAGTCAGTCCTGTGAGTAGTAGTATGTAGTGACAGCCGTGCAGGGCCGGCGATCCATTATCACAGCGCAGGTGTCAGCAGCGTCTACAGTCTCTGCACCCACCAACACCCCACCAGTCTCTGCACCCACCTACACTCGCCAGTCTCTGCACCCAGATGTCATACTCTGTAACCCGACCGGGATATAGCTACCTGTATACGGCGGCAAGAGCCCGCCACCTGAGCTACTTCCAATGTGCAATCCGCTATATAGAACTGGGCGATGTTAAACCATGGCATCAGAGCCACGTAAACAAACACCTAAAACAGACGAACGCTTCAGCAGTTAAGTCATCGCGTGCTGTTTCACACTATTGCTTGACTGCCACTTAAAAAGAATCCATGCGTTTATGGTCTAGATATGAAAATAGAAGGCTATTAGATCAAATCAAAATTAAAAAATGAAAAATAGTAAAAGATGAGTGAACAAATTAACCAAGTCGAAGAGGTAGAGAGGAAGGTGGCAATGCGCAACCGAGTACAGCAGCACGCGGTGCGAGCTGAGTCGCTCCGTCAGCCGGGCCAGGGGCGGCAGTAGCAGCAGCTGCCATGCAGGGCGGGTGAAGGCAATGCAGTCGCAGCCGCTGCTACCATCTCTGCGCCTCCCTCCGTGAGCTACCCACAGCCCCGCCACCAGTCCCGACACCAGCAGCGCCAGTGAGCCGACACCGGCCCGGTGTACCTTCATAGGGGAGAGGACGACCAGTCCCTCGGCTAGCACCGGCGCGCCATACGCTATACAGTGCTGGCTGATCTCAATTATAGGCATCAGAGCCAGGTAGGCGAACGCCTAAAACACACGGGCACGGCTGAGTTGGGCCGGAGCGTCTGTGAGCTGGCTACTGCGCAGTGTCAGCCTAGTCACTCAGTTCTCGCTATCACCATGGTCCTGCGCATGTGACAGATCCTGTGCATCGTGATTCGTGAACTGAGGTGGGCGTAGAACTCTTAACGTAACAAAACTCTATAACGCCTCCTTTCTCGACCTGTCCTCTTCTCTTGAGGCACCATAGTGGGACTGGGGATATCCTGGGGATTGTTTGTGCATTGCTGTATCTGCCCACCCTTCCCTGAGTCCGTCGTCCCAATCCCGACGTAGAACTGCAACATGGCGAGTGGCGACCTAAAAACAGTTTACAAACACATTATTACGGAGCGAGCGAAGCGAGCGGAGTCTCATACTGAATTAAGGGAAAATCCTGAGTATGAGCGGCCGGCCGGCCGGCCGGCCGTGGGGACGCTCTTCAAAAGCTAATATCTTAGGAACGGGACATCCGATTGACAAGCGGTCTTCTTTACTGAATGTCACTTGGACGTAAAAGTTCTGTGGTGTGATGGCCACCATGCGTTCTTGCCAACCACCGCACGTGGCGCGTGGTAAAGTTGGACATTTTTTAAGAACCCCCAAAATTGCAACCTCAATAACGGCACAACGGTTGGGCCGATTCAATTGAAACTCAGTACACAGTTAGGTCTCCATCAGATAATTCATCTGCATGTGTTCAGGTTGGGGTGCTACAGCACGTGCGCACGTGCAGGGGGCGCTCCCAGATCTCGAGAACGGCTGGGCCGATTGCGCTCAAATTTGGTACACGGTTGGGGACCAGTTAGTAGGGTGCCGTGCAAAAGTCAGTTTGGACCCCGCTTGCACGTGCGCACGTGCAGTGTGCCGCTTCCAGATCTCGAGAACGGCTAGGCCGATTGCGCTGAAATTTGGCACATCGCTAAAGACCGGCTAGTAGGGTGCAGTGCACAAGTTATTTGGAGGTACCCCCTCGCAATTTCGCACGTGCAAGGCCCGTCCTCTCGCTCGCTCCGTTGGTCGCCCAAAAGGCGTTTTACTGGTTATACACATACACTTCCAACAAGATATCTGTCCCTCAGTTATCTAATCTGATGATGGTCTGGCCCGTCGCCCCAGGCTGGTGCAGCTTGACTATCGGGCAAGTTATACGCCCCCTCCCCCCCCCCACACACACACTGTGACTCTTCCCTGACCTGTGCGACGGTCAGGTTGTAGCCAGCCCCCTGTATTGACAGGGTCGTGCCCTATCCCCCTCTCCCACACACACACTGTGACACCCTTCCCTAAGCTGCGCGGCCGTACCCCCCCCCCCCCCGTGACACCCCCGATGCGCTGACCTGCGCGGCAGTCAAGTTGTATCCCCCCCCCCCCACACACACACACACTGTGACACCCTTCCCTGACCTGTGTAGCTGCACGCCCCCCCCCCCGTGACACCCCCGATGCGCTGACCTGCGCAGCAGTCAGGTTGTAGCCAGCTCCGACGTGACACAGGAATGTGATGATGGCAGAAATGACGGGTACAGTGGGCGCCAGGGCGATACTGACGCTCTGCACGTAGGCGGCGCGCTGCAGCAGCGAACGCTCCGACGACCGAGCCGCTGCGGGAAGGGTAACAATGTAAATTGACACACATACGACCGCTAAGACTGCAAATAAAATTGGTTGTGCTCCCACTGTTTTTGGGTGGGGATGGTTCAACGTAAGACCTCAATCTAATTTTTAGTCAACTGGTACCAGCGCGACAAAGGTCGTAACAGAATCAGAAACATTTTCCGGCAATTCATCCAGCACTCCGGATGTTAACGAAACAATTTACGAATCGAACTGTCTAGTGTCCATTCTCCACCCTGACAAAAATACAAAACTTGCCAGTTCGGGCCACTTTCTTCAATACTAATAAGCAGGCACCAATAAGCCTTACTCACAGAGCGCGAGGTTGACTATCATAGTCAACCTCGCCACATAATAGGCACCTGCGCAGCCGTGAACAGCACAACAATGAGACAGAAGCACAGCCGAATGACTGCAACTGCAACAGTCTCGCTTTCCACGAGCCGTCGCAAAGCCACACTCACCGGTGATGCGTTTAACGAATGTCGCCTCCCAGGCGTACTGCTTGATGAGTTTGATGGCGGCCAGAATCTCGTGCATCAGCTGCACACGACGGTCCGTCACCACGATGGTACGTCGGCGCAGGTAACCGGTGATCCGCGACAACATAAACTGCCGGATACATAAACGGCAGCGGTCAGTGGTGACGAGTCAGTGGTGCCAGTGGTGACAGTGCTGATGGCTAATGGTGACTGTCAATGGTGACGGTAAATGATGGCGGTCAATAATGATGGGCAATTGTGATGGTAAGTGATGGTGGTCAAGTGATTTTCAGTGGTCATTGTCAGCCGTATAACATCAGCTAGCGGTTAAAGGGACTATCCCACCTTTAACATGGGGTTTGAGTTGAGATAGCCAAGTTTGCGGCAAGGTTCAGAAACCACTATCTATCTAGGTTGCAACCCCCGCGGCCTCTTGGTGTTGAAGAAATTCGTTCCCTTCATTTGAAAATGGGCCTTGTACAAGGCCCTATCTTCAACATGGAGCGACCGTTAGTGTGACGTCACCTCGTTTAGTCATTCTGATTTAAATGGGTTTGTTCGTTGAAAAATCGCTTAAAACTTGGTCTGAACTTTGTTGTGGTGCCTACAGAGTAAAAAGAATCAGCTTTATGACAGTAATGTGGCCTGGGGAAGGAGGTAATTTTGGGCTGTGACGTCACATATTTGAAAGTTTGTGTTTGGAATATGGGAAGCCTAAGATGTTAAATGAAAAATAAATGCCAGAACCGTGTTCCTGATCATCCAATCTATAAAGTCGGGCACAATTTAACTGGTTTTAACAACATTTTAGAAGGTGGGATAGTCCCTTTAATGCTGGATCAGCAAGTAGTCTGAAACAGGATAATGCATCGTGAGGATGACGCGTCAACTAAGGCTTCCTCGACTCGTCCCTAGATGTCAGTAGTGTCGGGACGTGGGCACGTGAGCGCGCGCCGACGGCGGAACGACCGGCGCCACTGACACACCCCCTCACCCGGGCCCGGGTAGGTGGTTGTCAGTGTTGACACGGTACACACTTCGACCCGACAGATGGGGGTGAGGGGGGGGGGGGCGCTGGCTAGCCATGGATATTAGATCGTCAGCATCAGACGGCCAGACGGATGGTGACGTTCTGCACATAGAGTCGGAGATCGTATACCGCCCGTGAGGACAGCTGTAGTCCCATCAACAGTTAAACATGGACCAACGTCCTCATATCACAGACAGTAGTACAAGCCTGCTCTCCCCTCCCCCCCCCCCGCCAACCGAACACCGCACTGTAGTAAGGACAGCTACAACGCCCCTCAGCAAGGACCACCGCCCTCACACGACGAGCAGCCCTGTCTCCCAGATAACTGACCCACGCTCTTGAAAAGGAGTACCCAGTACCCACCTACCCCCACAACTGACAGCCATTTTGTGTCTACCCATGCACAATGCTCCTCTCCAGTATTCAGTCACGCGGTAACTCCAGACCACGTGTTCACCCCATGCCACCTGCCTGCCGTCGTACCACTATCAGCACATGAGCACACACGTGCACAGATAGCCTGCAGCGTGCCGCGAACACGGCCCTGCACGGCGGCCTTGATCACAGTCGGGCACAGAGCGGCGCGCCCACGCTGCAGACTGTCTTCAACCCTCCCCTCTTATATGTCACAGTGCAGTTGCGACAGCGCAAATAAATACAGTGAGTTATGACTTCATAAGGGGAAATCCCGCCCATGCACTCTCAGTAACCGGTGTAAGACACGCCGATGACATTGTCTCCAGCAAACAGTGCCCTCCAGCCCATCAATAATCTCTCACCCTAATACAGCCTTGGATGCATGTTAGGCTGTTTGATGGGGGCGTTAACTGGCAGGTCATTTGCAAAGAGGTAGGTCAAATAAATACAGAGGAAGTCTAGCAATCACGTCACCCGTGACGACCGCAGAGGAGTCAGAGGGAAGCTAACCGACCGACCAGCCCAACCTGGCTACCACTGAGGGGGCAATCTGACCTGCAGCGGATAGAACTACCTCGGTTGGCACATCGGAGAATGCCTGAGGGGGGTAGCACGCCCCCCGACTGACCTGCAGGGGGTAGAACTACCTCTGTGACCTCCTGATAGGGTAGTACGCGACCTGACTGACCTGCAGGGGGTAGAACAGTATGAAGGCGATCATTCCAAACAGGGCGTACGGTCCGAGCACCAGGCCGATGTAGATGACGCCGCCGAGCGCGATCACCGGCCCGCCAATGATGAGCGGACCGAACACGCACAGGTCGAATATGCGCTGCGCGTCGTTGGCGAACAGATTCACCACCTGAAATGGAGGGGAAGGGACGTTCAGGTCAGGGTCACAGGGTGGGGTGGAGGCCCGCAGGCAGGGCAGAGCACCCGCCACCAACAGCCATCGGAGGGGTCACACATACAGCTGGGGTGCACGACTGCACATGTATTGCAGAAGTGTATCTGGTACGGTGGAGCGATCTCGGTTCGGTCAAACTCCACAGTTTTTTTCGGGATGTTATCCTAGTTTGTGTCATGTGGGGTGAAGGTAGCGCCGAAAAAGCACCATTTCAAATCGAAGTTAACTGCCACCGATACGATAAAACGCACACTAACCGCCTACTATAACGGTGTTGGTTTCAACGCCGTATAAATTAACAGCGTATTCTACAACTGTATGCACCGTATCAGTGGAACGGCCAAAAATGAGCTCATTGTCTCGCCGACCGGTCGGCTCGTGCAAACAATACACCGTGGCACCGCGTCACTGACGTTATCAGGCGGGCGGCCTACCTACCAACCGCGCGGTCACAGCAGCGAAACCGCTATAAGGGGTGCCACACCGACGGGTGAATGCGTGCGGCATGAAAGAGGTGGCTTACTACTCATACCAGCCGAGCTTTACTCTATCCATATCACCGGGCATACACCTCGTCACCTCTGTACACGTCCTCTGGGACCTCTGTATACAGAGGTCTATGCATCGGGCGAAGAGCTTGCTCTCCATTATTTATCTAAGTTGGGAAATGGGCACGCAGTGAAGGCAGACAGCGGGGTGACCCACCTGGCCCACCGACTTGTCGCCCAGACTGGGCAGCTTCATCAGCTTCCTGTAGAGCACCGTGAGGCAGGCGGACCGCAGGCGGATGCCCGTGCGGTAGTTGATGCCCCACAGCGCCGTGAAGAAGAGGACGCGTAACACCTCGCAGGCGATCAGGCCCACCGTCCACCAGATACCCTCCTCGAGCGGGGCGTCCTCGTCCTGGGCAAACTCCAGTAGACGGCGCATAAACACCGTCTGTCGAACGAACCAGGAATACAGTCAGAGCGCCGGTCAGCTGATAAAACACCGTCTACTGAACGCGACCAGAAAGTCTAACTGTACGGGATGGTCAATATAACACTACCGAGTGCGGTCCGAGTGGCTGTCAGCAATATCACTGATACAACAGATTTAAACACATCCAACACTCAACAGATTCAACATTTCACTCAACTATGAAGTGTCTGAATAAACTGACAAAACATTTCAAATGATTGCCTTCTAAAAAAAAAAAAAAAAAATCCGATATTCTTATCAAACAACTTATTCTGGAACCTCTCCCGAAAAAGTATAAACACCAGAGATGACACTAAAGCACCTCACCCGCCACTGCAGTGTCATCCCCATCACTCACCGGTCCTAGCAGACCCATGATGAGACACATGACGAACACCGACATGCCGACAAAGATGCGTGTCCGGATGAACCTCCAGACGGCACGGCGGAACGAGGCGTGCTTCAGGCCGTGCCGCTTCACCTCGTCGGTCCACATAAACTCCAGCCTGGCCGGGGACAGCGTGGTCAGACACGGGTGATTGTGAAGGGGGAGGAGCGGAGCGCTCACTCGCCTTACTCCAAAGCACACTATGCCAACCGAACGAGCTAGATATGTGCTGGTCAGCATAGCAACTCTTTTCAATCCAACTATAGCTTCGACAAATAATTAACACCGTCAAAAATCCCCGGTAATAACAACAGTCAATCACCTTTAACACTCAACACACCCAGTAGGCCACTAGTATAATGGGAACACCGCATCAGCGCCCCGAGACACGAAACCGCCGTCACCGCTCAGCGCTCACCGTCTGGCGTTATACTCGCAGCTCTCGAGTGGCGAGATGCGCGGCAGGTCGTCCACCTTGAGGCCCTTCCTGTAGGCCTTCCACATGATGCTCGTCATCCACGAGAAGGTAGTGAACGACAGCATGCCAACCTTGTCCACCGGCATCGCTGCCTTCTCCCTGAGGGAACATCGTAAACTCTGGATCACCGGGTGAGCTTGCGTGATCGTCTGTGTCAGCTTATCGGAGTTAATTTATGAGCGCTCGCTGAATTTGTTTTTGGGCTAACGTATTAGTTCGTGAGCTCACTCTAAGGTTTGCAAACTCACTGTACAGTTGGTAGGTTCACTGGAAGGACTGTGACAAGCATGACAGGGCCGATCGGTGTGGTGGACATGGGTCATTGATTACGTCTCCGTCCAGATCAGTGAAATGGAAGGATGAACAGAAGACAGGGTTGCCTGTCCGCGTCTGTAGTGAAAAGTGGACACGGGAGTGGCGATTTAACCCTCGCCCGTATTCGTGTTTTGCCAGCCGCGAACGTATAAGGGGGGGGGGTCCGTCGCCCCCCTGCCGTTTGGCCCCTGATCGAGCTAGAGCTTCGCGAAAAAATGAGCGTGTTGCCCCTGACGAAAGGAAGCCGATGATACCCAATGTTAAGGTCCTAGGTCATTGGTTGGCCTTCCAGGCCAGGTCAATGACCCAAAAGTCGGGGAAAATCGGGACCTGTTAGAACATCGTAAAGTAAGGTTGCTACTTGCCATGTTTTTTTTTTTTTTTTTTTTTTTGGTGGGTGCTGATCACGAACTTTATGTCAGTTTTGATCACAGATAATGTCTTCATGCATTTAGACCAGGTCGGGTCAGGTCAGGTCAGGTCAACCAGTAGGCGACCTGTCGGGTATTCTAGTAGGTGTCAGCCGTCCCTGACAGCTTCGTAACATGTTATGAGTACATCAAAACCGTTTCGTAAATGTTCAAATGGTTGCCAAATTCGAAATCTGCTCCAAAATCTGCTCCAAAAAAGTCAGTGACCTGACCTGACCTTCAGGTGACCTTCACACCTACCATAATGCATGGGACCAACATCATATCACATGTTTGAACGTTTGAAACCACAAAAAGACTGCAAACGCGCGGCTAATGCGAGCCGACATACGCCGAATCGCTATTCCAATTCCGGCCAAACATGGTCTCGAGAAATAGGTCAGAGGTCAAAGGTCATTTGGGTCAGGGTCATGAAATTTTCAGGGTAGGGGTAAAATAGAATGACTCGAGGATTCTGAAAGTTGTGTAACGATCGGCCGCTTTTTACGCTACTTATTCGCAAAAAAAAAACGAGGGAAGGATCGTTCAACCCCTTCCCCCTTTACGGGCGATGGTTACTGGAATAGGAAAGGGCCGCATATATGTCTCGGTAGTGGAAAGAAGATAGGGAAAAAAGTCCAGTGTCCATGTCGGTGGGGTGGCCAGTGGAGAAGGGGGTACCGGCGAGACTCTGAATCACCTCACTGTGATGGATGTTAAAGGGACCCTCCCACCTTCAAAAAAGTTAATGAATTGGCATGAAAGTGATGTCGCTCGGTTCAGAAAGAGCAAAAATGAATATCTACCAAATTTCATCGAAAAATATTCACCGGTTTTCAAGATATTAGACTTTTACTTTTGTTTACTTTTTGGGATCTCCGCTGTTCCTAGCGACTTTATTTGAAAGTCCGGCATTTGTTGCGCGCAAAGCAGCATATACCACCGCGTGCTGCCAAACGTTTTAGTAAAAGATTTAAAAATCGTTAGATCTCCGCTGACGTCACAAATTCTAAGGGGGCATACCAATGCATTAGCCCCTTAGAATCCGAAAACTGCAAGTTTGAAATTCCATATCTCCGAATTAAAGCATTTTTCGATGTTGTGAATGCCCAAACCGGTATTTTCAGGCCATGGCCACCAATTTGGCTATCTCAACTCAAAACTAATGTTAAGGTGGGAGGGTCCCTTTAACTGATCCCAGAGGTGACTGGCGCCATGTGGCGGCCATGCACCTGACACAGCCCTGCGCGTTACCAATGCACAGTGGGGCCGTTGACCAGTTTAGGGCGAATTTATTCGTAGCGTTGTTAATATTTCTCAATATGTTTTTCAAATGGTTTGAATGGGTATATTTAGGCATTTTGGGTCATCCCTGATGCTTTCGATATATTCGATAATCGAAAAAGCATAAACACACGATACATATGTATTGCATCACATGTTACATACATACACTTTGAACACTCTCACGACACGCCGCGCTGGTTCGACTCTGCCAGTCACTGCTGTCACTGCTGCTGAACAGTCACTGCTGCTATGGCAGTCGTCGCTGTCGACATCACTGCTGTCGGTGCCGTCGTCACGACGTAGCTGATTCTCTCTCTCTCTCTCTCTCTCTCCTCTCTCTC